CTATTGCTGACGCCAAGTGCAACAATTCATTTAAAAGTCCAATTTGGTCCATTAGCACTTACCAAATGCGATCGCTTCTCTTGTTAATGCCATGAATTTCCCATTGACAGGTTTCCGAGTGCTGCAGACAGTCATTTGAAAAGGCAGAGAAAAACAGAATTTAAAAGAAACACAAGGCAACAACAAATTACATTTGTATAGTGCCTTTCAACAAGGGAAACTGAGAGAGAAGAACAAGAGGGAGAGGAAAAGAAAGAAAATGAACTTGCACTTTTGGTGCTTCTCAATGTTAAAATGTCTCAAAGTAATTTTTGTCAAGTGTAGTGACAAGGCTTTGTAGGCAAATGCAACAGCCAATTTGTGCACAGCAGAGTCCCGCAAACATCGATGAGGTGAATGATCAACTCATCCTGACGATTGTTGGCCAGGACATGGGGAGAAACTCCCTTCTCTTTTCCAATAGTGTCAAAGGATCTTTAACATCCACCCGAGGACAGGCAAACAGGACTTTAGTTTCAGCCTAGAGCTAAAGTTAAGAAGTTAGAGAGTTAATAGCAGATCCTATTAAAAGATGCTGCAAACAGGAATTGTCAAGTCTGTTGTCCATATGCCTGGAATTGGTGCTGTATATTGCTTTTGACAGGATCTTGCAAATGTAATTATTGCAATAATAATGGGCTCATAGAGCTCCAGAAACAGCTTGTCTTTGCTTCACATAAAGTATAATTATTTTCTACAAATGCGTATATTGTATGTAAAATGTAGCAAAGACTTGGTCTCACATCATTGTGAAAATAATATTTAGTCAGGTCAGTGCATGACGATTTGAAATTGACAATATGTATATAGAAATGGTTTGGGTAGGAAATTAATTTTGTGAATATCATAAAAAAAACATATTTTGATAAGGTTACGGTTAACATACTTAGTATGCATTTAGGCAAGAGAAGACCAATGGTCTATCTAGCTAGCTAGTCAACTTCTCCAAAAGAGCCTTTGACACATCTAGCTCATTATACAACCCTGAATTCCTTTATATTTGTAGCAACTTGTCTAGTTCCTTTTTGATACTCTTTATAGTTTTTTTTCCCACCACCTGTGCTGGTAGTGTTTCATTAATTATCAAAAATAAATTGTCTTGCAATTGTTAAAAGTCAGATCAACTAAGATGTGATCCATTATGTCCTTTGTACAGTTAAAACCCATCCAGGTTATGGTATCCTCAAATTTAGTCACTGCACTGGATCACTGATGTGATAAGTGCTATAAAATTGTATCTTATTTTTGGTGTGAGGCTCTCCTCCAATAGAACTTTGGCTGCGTCAATGATCCACCTTCATCCATCCATATATCGAGCAAAGGCTTCGGTATTAGGCATTAGAACTACAGGCTTCACCATGTCAATAGGAAGCACAACAGAAGGGCAAGATGTTCTCATTGATTATTTTGTACCTCAATCACATTGGATACAATCTTTCTGTTCATCAGTTTATCATCTATAATGTAATAATGGATTTGCGGGAAAGCTTCTTTTCTGCTTATTACTCCACTGATTCTTAATGAAATCTGCACTTGTACAAGGAGATTGAAGTTACAATCCCACAGCCTGCAGGTTAGTACAGCACAAAAATACAACACTTCAAAACAGGTTCCACGTAATAAATATGAATGTTAAAGATCCCATGGCACTGTTCAAAAAGAGAAGGGAGTTTGTCCCGGTGTCCTGGCCAGCAAATACCCAAATAGAAATGGCTGTTTGTTGTGAGTAACTGGCTGCAGCGAAATGCAGAGTCAATCAGCTTTACAGTGTTCCTGTGAAGAGCTTTGGGTGTCTTGACGGCGTGAAAGGCGCTATATCAAATGCAAGAACTATTATTGTTCTCACTACTCATGCTACCCGGCATCCTGTTGGAGGGGCTTACATGGGAATGATGGCCTGCATCTCGTGAGTTTGCAGTGGGCCTGACCTGGCCATGTGTCCAGGCCACAGGCTTCCTTTGTTCATTTTGGGCCTTCACCCATGGCTACAGACACTGTTCTCGTCTCACGGAAAGAAAGAGCTCAATCAATCCTCTGTTCTGCGTGGCTTAGTACTACACTTTGCACACAACACAATTGGGAAATAATCAAAACTTTTCCTAAACAAAAAGTATTATGTGGCATGGCTCTATGAGTAATCTGAGAGATAAGAAGAATTGTACTGTGCTGTGCTCATTTATACAGAGTCATCATTCTATTGCAGCAAAATGTATTAATTGGCAACAAAGGCAATGGCATACAAGATTAGACCAGTTTAACATGACCAGCAGCCAATGATACAATTGTACAATGAACAGATGCTGCAGGAATTCATTCATTTGTAAAGAAACAAAGAGCACAATCTAATGAGAGTGCTACAGGCTGGGGTCTTTCTAATTACTGGTGAAACTTGAAGACATTTCAGCTCCAGCTCACACCATTAATAAATGTCAACACCCTGTCTTCAAGACAATGGCTCAAAACAGAAAGTAAACTTTCAGCATTACCATAAATAGCAGTAAAAGTAAGGTGAGAATTGATTGGGAAAACAGAGTAACATAATGTGGGTCCTCTGCACAACAGCATTGTTGGTGCTGATTGTGCAATCTCGCTGCTTGGGTTGAAAGGTAAATACAGGAAGCTTAGAGCTTCAAAAGTGCATTTGCTGTCTTGCATTAAACATATTGATCAGCAAAGTGTCAGCACAAAAAAACTCTACTTATATATGCATATATGTGTATATATATGTACAGCGCCTTGGGACGTCCTCCCGATGTGAAAGGCGCTCTATAAATGGAATCTTGCTGTTGTTGTATGTTTATAGAAAAATAAATAAAAATTCAGAAGATTATCAAAATACTGTTCCATTCTAAAATCCTACAAGCCTTTACCAATGTGTTTGATATTACTTAATTGCTGTTTCTATTTGCATCAATCTTTTTGGGAAGGAAGTTTTTATTCCATTTCGCTTTCCAGTTTGTGTTTTCTCATGGAATTAAAAAAATGATCCATCCAATTAAATAATTTATACACAGCTACAATACACAATTAGTTCAGTGGCTGATGACAGGAAACTTAAATCCAATAACAATTCCACTGATAATTGAGAGGTGACATGTGTCTTCAGATTGTTTAATGTTCATGAACATATGGTACATTAGTTAAGATATATAGATATATACTATTATTATATATATAGAGAAACTACTGCTTAACACCACAGATCAGACTTTGGGTCCTTTCTCATGGACAATTATCAATTACTGAGCAACAATGGGGTCTAGTTTGCAGTTTTTTAAAAAAAAACAGATTTCTTAATGTGAAATCTAACAGGAATGCTCCTCCAGAAAAATGTATGTGTCAGTAATTATGTTGTTTCAGGTCAGCATAACAGCATAACATATTAGATCTCATTACTTGGATACTTTATTAAGAAATACCCCAATGAGTTTATTCTGTTTACAATTAATGCAATGAATTCAATGCTGTGGGCCTTGTTATTGTACTGCAGTTTTGCAAATTTGACCCTGCATGCTTTAGACATTTGCAAAACTAACCAAACAGAGCAGACAAGTGCTTAGCCACTGCAATACAAGTACACATACAGTGCACAAAGTGTAACCCCATTTATTCTGCTCTGATTACTCTGGGTAGTGAATTTAGACTCACCGTTGTTCTGCTCTATTCAGCTAGTTTCACAAATTTGGCTCCAAAAGAAGACACCTGGGATAGCCAGGCTACTCCACAGTAATCCAAAACCGGTGTGGATCAACATAAATCTTGGAGATGAGCCAGAGCCCTGACTTAGGGTGGTCCCAGTGGGGCAAGTACCATGCTGTATAGCTGCAATTTATTTTTCTCCTTACAAACGAATGTAATGCAATTATATATTTTGTATTCATGATGTAATGTTATTTCCAATTTAAAATTGCATTAGTTGTTTCTAAAGGCACAGGACTAACTCTCAAAATCTACTGCACAGAAAATAAGCTTCCAACGTGATCTGTCCATAAAGAACAGAATGTAATATCCCTCTCTCCCATGAGATCTTCAAGAATTATGAAGGCGTATCGTATGGTAAATAGTAATATATCATTTTTACGGATAAATTAATATGAGAGGCACGCATTTATGTAAATCAAAAATAATTCAAGGAAGGATCGAAAAAATATTTACACAAGGGCAGTAGAAATGTAAAATCCAGTGGAAATGTAAAATGCACTTTGGGAGTTTTTGGAGAAGATTTTAATTGTAGGTTAATGCATTTACACTTCTTATAGTTTCAAAATTAGGAAATGAATTCATACTAAACGTGTTGATACATAATTGCACTTGCAAACATGCATAATATTTATATCTGCAAACACACATACATATAGATGCCCCACCCCCCACAAGCACAGTATGTCTTTTTTTTAAAAAAATGCATATCTACCCCCCTCACTTAAGTACAAAATACACATCTTACTAATACCGAGTATTGGGGTGCAATGACTTGAATTACTTTGTTAACCTCGAGAAGTCTTGTTAAAGTTTTAATGTGGGTTACGTATGTGAGTTAGTAGCCTAAGAGTTTTTGGCCAAAGGATGGGGTTTTGAGATGGCTCAGCCTTGGGGAGCAGATCCATTAAGAATTTCATGTCTGCACTGAGTGGATGTATACACATTTCCTGGATGTAAATGAATACCTGACCGCAGTGTGTTTGGGGGGTGGGGATGGGGGGGGGGATGTGTGTGGGGGTTTGGACAACACATGAAACAAAGTCAGTCAAGTGACGCGTTTCTCATTCACTTTCTTCTGAGGTCCATCAATTCAGGACCAAGGAGAGCAGCTTCAACCATCCCCACCTCAAGGCTTTCATCTCCTACCCCTCCTTCCATCCTACCAATTCCTTTCATTTACACCACCCCCACCCCCACCCCCACCCCAACCCACTCCCCCCAACTCAGTTTAGACCATCCATTTCGATATCGTTAAGGACTTTATTGGTTCCCACATAAAACCCTCATGAAACCTCCTGCAAAGGACGACTCCGGGAAAAGATCCGCAACAGAGATGGATGTGGTGCTGCTCTTGTGCTTCCTCACAATTATTAAAAGTAAGTGCATCTTTCTTTATCTTTTTTTTTGGTGGGGGGGGGGGGTTATTTACAGTCGGGTTTACGGTCGCGCTGTTATTTCCAACCGACCTCTCTGCTGCTGCAACTGCGCGACTCCGACTCGCACTGAAAGGCTTGTGATGGGGTTTTTAACCCTCAGTCCAGTACAGTACAGGGTTCTATTGTAAAAAAATCTCTCTCTCTCTCTCGCTGTCTCTATCTCTCTGTGTCTGTCTGTCTGTCTGTCTGCCTGTCTGTGTCTGTCTGTCTCTTCCCCTCGTTCTCTGATCGGTCGTGAGCCGAAGCTTGAAGACAGACAGACAACAGACAGAGAGACAGACAGACAGACAGACAGACAGACAGACAGACAGACAGACAGACAGACAGACAGACAGACAGACAGACAGACAGACACACAGAGAGAGAGAGACAGACAGACACACACACACACACAGAGAGACAGACAGACACACACACTGAGAGACAGGCAGACACAGAGAGAGAGAGAGAGAGAGAGAGAGAGAGAGACAGACACACAGAGAGAGAGAGAGACAGACAGACAGACACAGAGAGAGAGAGACAGACAGACAGACACAGAGAGAGAGAGAGAGAAATAGGGAATTAGGAGATGTCACATTGCAACAACACAGAAAGCGGCATTTTGAAAACACGAGTTAAAAGGAAAGACTTTCATTTCTTTACGATCTTCGTTGATGACGATCGTGGACTGTGTTAAATCCACACCGAGAACTGGAGGCTTCGCTCAAACGCATTGGAGTCCAACATCGAACCGACTTACTCTGATGTCTCAAAAATTCGATGTCATTCCAACTATTCCATTTCATTACGATCCGATGCCACGATCCCCAAACAGTCCACAGTCACAGTAAAGTAAATCACAACAATGTGGAGTTAGAATCCAACTAACTGGTCCCAGAGACTTTCTGTGACTGTATTTCTCAGCTACTTGATGGATAAACCCTGAACAGTGACCGTGGTGGTGGGAGGGGGTAGGGATTTAAGAAAAAATAATAACCAAAGGAACTTGCATCCTGCCTTCAGAATTAAGTGATACAGTAAGAAGAAGCAGGCAAGGGGCTACTGTGTTGATTGACCCCCCCAAGGTAATAATAATAATAATCCTTGCATTTGATATAGCGCTTTTCACATCAGGAGGATGTCCCAAAGCACTTCACAGAACACACTGTAAAGTGAATTGACTGTATATTTATGGGCGAACGTGGCAGCCAATTGCGCACAGCAATGTCCCACAAACAGTCGTAGATTGAAAATGACCAATTTATTATTGTTTTTGGAGGGATTATTATTAGGCGTGTGGAGTAAGGAAACTTGCCCAAGGTTTCGCCCTCTGCCTGGAATTGAACTCAGGTCTCTCACTTGCAAAGCGAGTGCTCTAACCTCTGAGCTACAGGACTCCACAGTCCTGTACACAGGCAGACATGGAGAAATACACTGAAGTACTCTTGGAGGAGTCACAAATTACTCATGACCTCAGTGCATGTTCTAGTCAACTTGAGAGAGAGATGCGCCAGCACAGGAAAAAGGGTTGTGATCCGTCTTTCCCACGTGCAATTGACGAGAGATAGGACACCATCGGGAAAAGTTGCAGGATAACTAGGAATATTAGTTATTGGCAACTTAATACCGTTTACATTTAGGAATGCTCACAAAACAATTGCCTCTCCCACCCCCATCCCACCACTCCACATGATGGTTTGGAGTTTATCCAGAAAGTAGCTGAGAAATACAGACATAGAAGGTCTCTGGGCCAGTAACTAGATTCTAACTCCAAATCCATTGTTTTGTCATTTACTTTAGTCCAAAAACAATCGATTACTTATAGCAGGTAGTATCAGTGTCTGTTATTTATTGCACCCAAGATAACTTCTGAAATAAAAAAAATTATTTGAGAAAATCTTTCGCATTTAAAGACATCTGCAGTTTGTACATTAAAAACTTAGGGGAGCTAAATTAATTATTTCGAAAGTAATTTACGATGGTAGTCCCTGCATTTTAGTGTAGCTGTACAGTCAGTGTTTTATGTATACGGGAGACAGACTCAATCTGAGATACAGCTATGTTTAGAAAAGTGGGTGGATATCAAACGATTTCCTTTGCTGGTTCTATGGAGCGTTTGTCCAAACGAGGTGGAGTCAAATGGAAACCCTAAGGGTGTTGAGTATAGCTGTGTAAAATTGATGTGTATATTGCCGCATATACATGAGTTTTCTCCTCCTTCATACTTCGATCCCTGAGGTGATATACCATGATATATAATAATAATAATCCTTACATTTGATATAGCATCTTATCATGTCGTTGAGATGTCTCAAAGCGCTTCACAGAATATACTGTAAAGTGAATTGACACTGTGCCAATTTCATTCACACAGCATTAATCTGAATTGCAAAGGATACTTTAACACTCATTATTGTTTATTTTAATCTGGGATTTTTTTGGGGGGATCATAATAGGATTCCTGACCTTTTTACTAATTCCTTCATCTCAAAATTGAGGGACGTGGCTCCTCCCTCCATCTCACAATCTCTCTCTCATGGGATTTGGTTTACTGAGCAGCCTGGCAAGGAGATGGCACCTGGTATCGTCCGCGAAGCTTCTGTTTTTCCTTCTGAGGGTTTAGGAGCCAAAATAAATACCCTTCCATTGTTATAGTGTCTTATAACATGAAATAGTTTCACAGGTAATTATTGTCAAGTACATTGATTATATTTCTCGGCAAAGGAGCTGTTGTTTGTACTAATAAGGTCCAACAAAACAACCATCAATTAATCAGGCGGGATGTTGTCCTGGATCCTGGAAGAAACTACTTTCTTTTTCACAATTAATCTTAATTTTAGCAATTTTATGAAGGATAGTACCTACAACAATGCAATGTGCTGCAATGGAGTGCTGTGTCACTGCACAGTGTCCCACAGTGTCACTGTGAGATCAAGTCCTGGCCTGGGGCAAAAGTACTACTACCAGCAAATTTTCTGGTCTGAAGTAAGGTTTCCTGTTTTACAGGTGGTGGTGGTGCAGAAACTGAGGAGAAACTAATGAAGTATCTCCTAAACGAAGAGAGATACAATAGGTTAATTCGACCAGCCATCAATAACTCAGAGATTGTGAAAATAGTGCTTCAGGTCTCCCTGGCACAGCTTATCAATGTGGTGAGTATTCTGCCCCCTACAAACCAGGGATGCCTCCCACTCTTCGAGGACATTTAGTAAAACCTAGGTAAAAGATGGGTAGGACTGAACTTCAAAGAGGATGCAGGACCCATGAATGGATAAAAGGTGTACGAAAAGAGATTATTGTTAGCATATAGTGACACATTTATCCATGAAAGGTAGACATCAGAAATGTCATTCAATGGATATGTAAGAAAGATGTTGTGGGGGATCTGGAGGCCACTGAAATGGGGGAGGATGGGATGCGAAACCATTACATTTGTGTTATATAGTGATGGAATAGATAGATGGGTCCAAAACACTGACTGTCCAGCGCCTTGGGATGTCCTTCTGACATGTAAGGCGCTATACAAATGTCATTTTGTTGTTCTTGAATATTCTGAGAAACATTTGAGAATCAGAGAAGATCTCTTGAAGGTGAAATTGGTCCAGAAGTATCCATGACATGGTTGATACTGTCTGTGATAGGAATGGGCTTGATTGACTAAAATACCTTTTCTAATTTGGTGCTTCCTTGGAATCAAGACTTTATGACCTGGAAAACAAAACAAAAACAAAACAACTTGCACCCTTCATGGTATCCATAACTAAATGACATGTTGGAATGAATTAGGCATCAAGTGGGTTCAGTTTGTCTTCTCTCCTCCCACACATTCTTAACTGTTTATGTTCTTTTCTTAGAATGAACGTGAACAAATCATGACAACAAATGTCTGGCTGAAGCAGGTCAGTATATCCATAACTCTTAACCCATTTGAGAATCGGGAAAACATCCGGGATTGTCTGCTTTTGATGTTGAAAATGGATAGTCTCTACTTTGCATCTATTTTATGCCAGGAATGGTTCGATTACCGGTTGTCCTGGGACCCTGCTGACTATGACGGAATTTGCAAAGTAAGGGTACATTCCAAACTCATTTGGCTCCCTGATGTTGTGCTTTACAACAAGTAAGTTCGATGGCCATAGTCATTTGACAATCTCTCTTTCTCTCTCTCTTGTATACAGTAAACCTCACATAAGTCGTATCAGTCGTTTCCATACATTTAATAATAATAAATGTAGCATTTTAATATAACGCTTTATCACGTCTTCTAGACGTCTCAAAGCGCTTCATAGAATATACTGTTAAGTGAATTGACTGTATATCTGTGGGCAAAACACAGGAGCTCATTGTGCATAGCAGTGTCCCACAAACAGTCGCTACTAATATGATTTATGCAACGTATGAGTTATGTCAAATGTGCATAGAATGTAAATTCTTGAATGGGACTTGGGCCAACGTAGGACTTAAGCAATTATACAGATCAAACGTATGTGAGTTTTACTGTATAATGTTTTACTTTATCAAAAATGCCAAATAATGCAGCTTCTCTACCCTCAAAACAACTGTCATTCCCAAACTCAGAACTGAGCTCACTCTTGCTTTGAAAACACAAGGGGTCCAATTTGGACGAATTTCTCAACAGGATTCTTGAACCATTCTAAATAAAAAAACAGTGCCAGGCAAACGGGGACTCCTTTCAATAAGCAGAAGCTGGGTCACATCAAACCAAAAAATACAGTCAATTCACTTTACAGTATATCCTGTGAAGCGCTTTGAGACACCTCAACAAAGTGATAAGGTGCTATATCAAATGCAAAGATTATTATTATAATAACTCCACTCCAACATTATTTACTCAATGTCAGTAGAGTTCTCATGGGCCCAATGAATCTTAAGAGGATTGCTTGTTGAGTAGTAGCACAAATTAGACCCAGTGATACCCATTGACAGAAACTTCTACATACCCCAAAATCTAAGTCATTTTTGCACCTTTATATTGAAGCTGATACATTTTAGACATCAGTTGACTTACACCTCACATTGCCAACTGTATTCCCAGCTGCTGCCTCCACTGAGTTCAATTAACTCAGGACAAATTAGAATGCAAAGCCAGAGCTTCACAATATCTATGGCACAGATATTCACTCACTGCATACACTCACTGAACCATCAGAGGATTGATAGTACTTTCAACTGGTTTGTATTTGTTCAATCCCCTCTTCAATCTATTCAATATTGTATGTCATGTTGTTCTTAAGTCTTCCGGCTTTTAGTTTGCTTTATTTTTGTAATAATTCATCTCTCTTTCTAATTCCTTAAGTGAATTTAAAATATGTATCGCATCCTGTCTAATACACCCCGAAACTCTGGAACACTCTGCCTCTATTCCTCTGCCTTGACACCTCCTTCCCCATCTTCATGTCGCACCTGAAGACCTTCCTGCTCAACTAGTAACCTCCCACTGGTTCGGGGTCATGTTCCACCACTGTTACCCATTGTCAATCGCTCTGGGACAATACCCTGTGTGAGGGTCACTATATAAATGCAAATTGTTTATATGTTGCTTTAACTCACTTATACAGCCTCCTTCCCATCACTTGCATGCATCCTCCTTCCCTTGTGTTTCTGTCTCTCCTTTATCATTCCCTCTTTGATGGCGGCCCATCTCTCTCTAGTGCCGATGGGACATACGAGGTCTCTGTGTACACCAATGTCATCATCACCTACAATGGGAGCATTTACTGGCTGCCCCCGGCCATCTACAAGAGCTCCTGCAAGATTGAAGTCAAGCACTTCCCGTTCGACCAGCAAAACTGCACTTTAAAATTTAGATCCTGGACTTATGACTACACGGAAATTGACCTGGTGCTGAAAACTGACACAGCAAGTATCGATGATTTCACTCCGAGTGGAGAGTGGGACATCATCTCACTTCCAGGACGAAGGAACGTGAATCCATTTGATGCAACGTATGTGGATGTGACGTATGACTTTATCATTAAAAGAAAACCTCTCTTTTATACCATCAACCTCCTGATCCCTTGCATGCTCATCACATTGTTGGCTGTTCTAGTCTTTTACCTCCCATCCGACTGCGGTGAGAAGATAACTCTGTGTATTTCAGTCCTGCTCGCCCTGACTGTGTTCCTGCTGTTGATCGCTAAGATTGTCCCTCCCACCTCTTTTGATGTCCCGCTGATAGGCAAATACCTCATGTTTGCTATGGTCCTGGTGACATTTTCCATTGTCACCAGCGTTGGTGTGCTAAACGTTCATCATCGATCTCCCAGTACTCATGATATGCCGCCGTGGGTGAAGACTGTATTCTTGGAGAAGCTGCCTGCCCTCTTATTCATAAAGAGACCCCAGACCAGTTCTTTGGAGCAAAGGTTGCACCAGAGTCAAAACAGCAGTGCTGCTGTGAGCCTCGAAGACAGATACAATACTCTCTTTGTGAACCCAGCTTCCACCAGAAACTGCGACCTGAGTGTTCTAGACTCGCCCGAGGGGTTTGCCTGTCACCGAGACTTGAGGCTGAGGAACTCAATGAAATATTCGCCAGAGGTGCAGCAGGCAATCGATGGTGTGAAATTCATAGCGGATAACATGAAGAACGAGGATGAGAATGAAAGCGTAAGTGAGAGTTCGTCATTAAAATAATAAGGCCATGATGTGGGCTAGGCTTGGACACAATGCTCTCTCTAACCTATGATTTGAGGTAGTGTTTATTTTCAGTAGTTTGTGTATTACCTCTCTCTCTCTCACACACATCTAAGTGCACTTGTTACCTGTACTAGTAGGTATCTCCATTAAGGCTGATTCTTAGAAGGTTCACAGGTTACCTACACACCAAGTCTCACTGATGAGTCTGACGGCATCAAAGACGACTTGAATCAAAGCAGATGTACCCAGTATTGTGAGATGCATCTTCGCTGGACAAATCTTTTCTAGACAAATTGCTAGTTCACTCACAGAAAGACACAGATCACCTCCTCATTCTCCCCACAGAATTATGTTTAAAGATAGCACCCATTTCACTTGAAGGGTAAGAGTTGAATCCGGAATCTAGGGTTTCAGATCTAGTGCTCAGCACCTGTAGTATCAGGATGTCAAACCACAAGGAAGTATTTTTCATTTCATGGCTATTTGTGGTTAAGAATTGGGCCAACAGAAATTAACACAAGTGGAGAAATTAAAGCTAGCAGGAGAGGCTAGCACTAACAAACACACCACCGGTTGAGCATTACAATTCCACATGGATGCAGCCAAGGACATATGGAAGTAGTTTGATACAGAAGCCTGCTTTTCATTAAAAAAACAATGTGGTGTTTTTTTTTTTCAGGTGACTGAAGATTGGAAGTACGTAGCCATGGTGGTGGATCGCTTGTTTCTCTGGATCTTTGTGGTCGTTTGCGTTGTGGGGACAATTGGACTGTTTCTGCAACCAATTGTTTACAATCACCCCTATCCTTGACATGTCTCAGCCTTGGCAACAAGAACTTTCACAGCCTTTCATTTGTTCAGAAACTTTTTACCGCATTCTTTTGCACAAGAAACATGAACTCTTTGCTTCATAGTTTCTTGGAGTCTCCAAAAAGCTTTCTCTATATCAAGAGTCATTATATAAGATATACCATAGCGTACATAAATTTGTCTTAATAATCAATTTATGTTAAACAAATAGAGTTTCAGTGTAATAAAAAAAGTGACTTTTTTCAATTTTTGTGACAGTTGGAATGCTCTAAATAAACTGTTAAATGACAAACTTTGTTCAAGTATATCTATCAAAAAGTCTACACTTTATGTACATAAAGACCCAGAAAGACCTCTTCAATTGCACAATGTCCTTACCTGTTTAAGCAACAGGAACTTTATGAAAATAAATCCTCCTCTTTTCAATTCTCTACGGAAGGTGTTGCTTCATCCTGGGGTAGAGTTCCACTTGTGTTTGTTGCTTTCTGGTGCCTCATCCCCCAAGTGACTATTCTTTATTTAGCACTCAGGAGGCTGTGTCTATGAAATCACCTAATCCTAACCTCACCGGATATCGATGTGCACACAGAAATAAAATAGTACACATATTTACATTATAGCCCCTATAACCCTGAAACATCTCAAAGAAGACTGACCACCAATCAAGAGGGAACTGGACAAGTCTGGTTGTCATCAATTAGTGATGTCATGTCAACACCTGAATGCTATTTCTCACTTGCAGACAATAGAGTCTAACTATCCAGTGACTGTTATACCCAAACAATGCTCTCCTTCATAGAATCATAAAATTCTACAGCACAGAACAACAACAACAATAAAATTGCATTTGTAGAGCGCCTTTCACGTCGGGAGGACATCCCAAGGCACTGGACAATCAGTGTTTCGGACCCAGGCTAGGGGTTAGGATTGGGGAAGGTAGAGGGCATGGGGTGTAAGGAGGGTGATCAAATGTACAGTCGAAGAGGAGGGTCTTGAGATGGGTCTTGAAGGAGGCAAGGAGGGGGCGAGGCGGATGGATTGCAGAATGAAGTTCCAGAGGGTTGGGGCAGAATGGCTGAAGGCTGGTGGGGCAAGCGAGGCGGGGGACGTGAAGCAGGCAGGAGCCCGCTGAGTGAAGGCAACATGCAGGTTGAGCAAGGCCATGGAGGGCTTTGAAATTGAGGACCAGGTCCTTGAACTGTATTCTCTGTGTGATAGGAAGCCAATGGAATCAGGCGAGGATGGGATGGCAGAAGGAGCCCATACGACCCATTGGGTCTGTGCCAGGTCTTTGAAAGAGCTACCAACTAGTCCCATTCCCCTGCTCCTACCACACAGCCCTGCAATTCCTTTCTTTTCAAGTATGGAATAAAGGGTTTGTGGATGAGGGCGAGAATGGGGTTTAAGTGGCATTGAAAGTGAGGTGAACGTGGAGGCAAGCAATGTGGTGGAGTGAAGAAAAGCATCAGTCAGAGATTGGATGTGGGGGAGAAAGGAGCTGAGGAGCAAACTGAATGCCAAGGTTGTTCACTGAGCATAGTTTTGGATGTCATGTGCATACATGCAGGAGTTAAACCTGTATCTCCAGATGACTTCGCCAAGAGGGAGCATGCAGACGAGGACGAGGGGCGGTGGGGGGCGAGGGCAGAAGCTGCTCAGGACAATCCTCCGTCCCCTCCTACACCCTTAAAAGTTCGATAGCTTTAGCTTTATCTTAAGAGAGATGAATTTATCTTAAAACAATTATAGGCCACCATCAATGCTAGCACGTGACACTCGTTGCACCACCGTCCATCTCAATTTCACTGGTTGAGCATTCAAAATAAATTGCTTCTCCCAGAAATCTGCAGCCCTGGCAACTGCCTAGTTTGCCTGTACAGTAACCAAAGCTGCTCCTGTCTCCAGGACTGTGAGACTAAAACACAATCTCACCTTTATATTCAGTGTACACTATTAGATGCTCCCTCACTAAAAACAAACCGAAATATATATTGGTTCAAAATTCTGCCCAGAATGTACATCACATATTTTTTAAAAAAACTCTCTAATAGGTGAAGACACAAGGCCACGGCATTGGCTTTTAAATATTGAATCATTTCTCTTGTTTACAAACCTACTCAAAGCAAAATACTACTAATATTAATCCTTGCATTTGATATAGTGCGATATCAGGCTGTTCAGACATCTCAACCCGCTTCACAGAACATACTATAAAGTGAGTTGACTGTATAATTTGCGGGAGAGAACTGACTGTCAACATTAAATCATTGAAATAGCGGATCATGTTTTTATGACCTGCGATGGTTTGACCTGAATGAATAAGTGGACGCTTAATTACAGTGCAGTATGAGGCAGTCAGACTGCAGTAAAGCAGGTCGAGGTGTGAACAGTGATGGCGATGGAAACGTTACACCACATGCAATTAAACACTGGGAGTTCATGAAGATGTATTAAAGGTTAAGCATGGGACGATGAGCTAAGCTGTCTCAGCCTCAGACCAGCGGCTAAGGGCAGGGGATCGTCCCACTCAGAAGACATCTAAACCCCTGAGTTTACAGCAAATCATCATTCAATTGTTTTGCAGATTTAACGACCATTTAGTCAGGGATACCGGTCAATGGGCACACATGAGGGGCTCCCAGCGTTTTGTTTTTCAATTTACAATAATATATTTAATGTTAGTACAAGGAGTGTTCGAGTGTTTTTAAAGGATATTATAAACTGTGAGATTACTCTTTCGGGCGGTGCTTGGTTTAATGAGATCTCCTGTCTGGTTGAAACCTATGCGACATAGATATACAATACTATACCTTAGTACAGTACAAATAGACATGTTCTGTGACACAAGTCTTACTGAGACACACTTTCAAATACAGTCATAGCTATTTGAGATTCTATGGAAACTGTACTTCGACCTAAAAATAAAATAAATGCAGTATGAATACGTTTCTGTCAAAGAGGGAAAAGGAGGATTGCTTTAAACTGGATCCCCGTTTAGGTGTATATTTAAGAATAAGTTTAGTAACAGGATCGCATTAAACGTACAAGTGTCTAACAGTGGATTTACGAGGAAGAAATAAATTCCAGTTGTAATATTTACAGAGGAGCGCTTTCTCGCTTTACGTATTTCCATCCTCCAACAACTCGCCTCGACAAGACAGAAATGATATGCATTGCCTTTCCTAAACCTGGAAATGTTCCATCCTGGTGGCAGTTAATCCCCTTTCCTCCTTCTGCTCCTCACTCCGGGTCCTCAGCTGCTCACTAACGTGTCGGATGCTGACTGGTACCTCCCCACTGATCCTGGGTTTGATGCCTCGTCCGTCTGCGAATTGTGCCACAGCGGATTCTAGGCATTCTCACCACAGACGTACGCAAAAGAAGCATTTGACCATCTTTCCGGTTTCTGAGGTACTAATTGCATGAGCAATCATTTTTTTTTCGGATTTCTGTGCGTCTGTGTTTATGTGTGAGACGCAATGGGAAGTGAAGACGGTTATGTGTATGTAAGTGTGAGTGAGTGAGTGAGTGAGTGTATGTGTGTGTTGGGGGTGGGTTCTGTCTGGTCTGTGAGGGGCTCGGTCCTTGTTGTTGTTGTTGTTGTTTTAATGCTCTGTTGGTACAGTAACATTCTGTGATTCTATGATTCTATGATAAGTATTCCCATTGCTCAGCTCTGCCTCGCCGCCCTGCGATTCCTGTTCCCTTCCCTCAAGGTGCAACCGAGGAGCTCAATGAAGAACGTATCCCAGCCTCTGCTCCTGTCCTCTACTCTTTTCCTGTTGCTTATCGGAGGTGAGAAACTTTATACTGAAAAGCATTGTTTGCTGTACATTACTTGAGCCGAGTCTCGTTTTCCATTCCTCAGGTACATCCCCTCTTATGTATGTGCGCTCTGAATCCCATCGGGTACAAACCTAACCCTAGAATACATTGCCATTTGCAAGGAGGGAGGGTGGGGTGGTGGGGGGGGAGTTGTATTTTTATCCTGTGCTATTATTCAACCCAACAATATGAAGTAACTCTCTATCTGCTTGCTACACTGTATCATCTATTTGTTTTTCGTGCCAGACAATTTATACCTGGATCACCCTTTCCTCACATGGCATTGTAGATAAAAGACAATTAACATTGATACAGTGCCTTTCACGTTCGGAGGATGTCTCAAAGTGCTTCAAGGTGCTGGACGGGCACCCGAACTGAGGGTGGGAAACCAGCCATCTATTGTGGAGGTCATGGCGCATTCTATTGAGGATGCCACACAAATCATTGAGAGTCTCACACATGTATGTATGTTGGCCCACAAAATATACAGTCAATTCACTTTACAGTGTATTCTGTGACGTGCTCTTGAAGACATGATAAGGCGCTATATAAAATAGAAAGATAGGTGTCTCCCGCTGAGAGAGTTCACACTCCTCACTAGACAAATAATGCTCATAATCCTTGGGTTTCCAGATAAGTTAGATGGAGGGGGTGAGGGGGCAGGACAGAATGGTCCAGTGAGGGGTATCACTAGGATTTAACCAGCAATTGAGTGACCTTTTTGGTCAGCCGGATGTCTGACATATGCGGAAACCTATCACCACACTTAAGAGTATCCAAACCAAACTGAGAATTCCATGCATTCCCACCTACACATGGAAAACCCAGAGATAGATTATGGGAATGGCATGTGCACTCTCTCCCTAGAGGGTGTCATTCTGCTTACCTCATTCCAGCAAGTATTAGGGACAGGTTGGCAAGAGCCAAGGCTTGGGGAATGTTTGTTGGGGTACTGCTGAAGTCTAACCAGCTAAAACCGCATAGGCTGTCATTGAGAACATTGCCTGGTAAGCTATCCATACAAAGCATTGGGAAATGTCACCCCGTGTATTTCTGACCTGTACAATCATTACCTTTATTCCTTGTTCAGATCTTGATATATATATATAGGGTATCGCACGTGAATGCCAATGCTTAAAATTGTAGCATTATGGCTAGGAAATTCACTTTGTTGTGTTTTTTCTCCTTTCCAAAAGGGGTTGTGACATCAGAGGCCGAGCAAAGATTACTCACAAAACTCTTTGAGAACTACAGTCGATATACCCGGCCAGTGGAGAATGTGTCTGAAGCTGTCACCGTTTATTTTGAGGTGTCCATGTCTCAGCTGGTTAAAGTGGTAAAATAGCTCATCACCTTTACTCACTGTACTCACTCCACTTTCTGTCTGTGCTGTGCTGACTGTCTGCTCACTCCTTCAATTTCCAGGATGAAGTCAATCAGATCATGGAAACCAACCTGTGGTTAAAACATGTGAGTTTCAAGCGTTATGAAAGCGAGCAATGATCAGCTGGGTAAATAAATAGCCCCCACTGCTTCTGCAGTTGGTGCTAAAGAGCACATTGACAAGTATTGAAATATTAATGTTTGGAATGAGCTCCATTTGAAAGAGCTAACATCTAGTGACAAGACAAGAGTCACATCCTAAACACCAGCAGGAGGGGAGAGGGCAGTTTGCAGAAAGTTTACTTCAATAACCGGGAGAGGGAGACTTAACAGACTGAAATCCACACAATGAAAACGATAAAAAAAAGAGCAATATGCCAGAAAAAGCAAGCAAATATGCAAAGGCGATTTATCAATTTATCTTCCTGAAATTCACTCCCTTTTTCCAGTAAAAGAGTATCTGATCCTAATGAAAATGTAATAAATCCCTTCATATTTCAGAAGTGTAAACTCCTGGGACACGTTGGGGGTGTCATTTATGACCCAAATCGAGTGATACTCTGTTTGCAGACCCACTGGAACCTGTGCTTCTGTTCAGAGTGAGCTGTAGAAAATTGATTACGTTTTTAAACTGGGATTCATATCTACAAATCTGTATCTGCGGACCCCTTGTGCACATTGTGGAAAAGCTCACCCTATAGGGTTGCATGTTGTTGTTACATACCTTAACCTTTACCTGGTGGGAAACCTTTTTAAAGGTCCAAGATGACTTTGTGCAAGAGTATCAAAAACTTGACGGTTTTTTACCAGAGTCCAAGGTGACGTGGATTGAATGGAACATGCCAAGTTAATACAGTACATCCAATATTTCTGGGAGACATCCCTTCCACCAGTTTGTACAGTATCTGTAGGATCCACTACAGCCTATTACATGCCATTCAATGACCACACATACCTCCCCCGCCCACCTCCACACCTCTATTTTCCTCATCGTGTCTCTCAGAGCTCCCTCGCTTGCAAGTGCAAGTCCCGAGTTCCTATTCATTTGGTCTCAATTTCGACCCTTCTTCCATTTGTTTCAACATCTTCCTCACAACTAATCATAATCGTACCTCCTCAACGTGGTCTCATCTCCTCCACCCATCTCTCCATGTATCTTGGTCAATCTCGCTTCAGCTTTAATGGCTCAACAAAAAAAACACACACACACACAGGGTGCAGTAGTCCACTCTGTTTGATTCACGCATGTTTTAAAGAAAAAGAACCACTGGCGAGAGAGAATTTGGAAAAGCAATGTGTTGACAGTTTGTACTGGTTGCTCTGCGATCTCAGGGAGGTTTGCATTTGCTTGCTGGCTCCGTGCAGTGGCACAGTCTAACCTTTTCAATCGTTGTGTTTCTTTTCAGATCTGGGACGATTACAAATTGAGATGGGATCCAGCTGAATTCGGAGGCGTCGAGTCCATCAGAGTCCCCTGTGGAAAAATCTGGAAACCAGACATCGTCTTGTACAACAAGTAAGAGATAGACGTTCAACTAACTGAACATCCATTCCGAGTAGTTGGTGTCCTTAAGGCCATTGGGGGAAGAGGGTGAAATTGTACTGGTCGTTAATAATGGCTTATAGTGAGGGAAATCCTAATTTCTGACCTCTCTCAATAAGGAGGGGATCCCATCAAAACCACAAACTGCCAAGGTCGGTAAAGTGGAATTTCACGCAGGTGTTAATGTTGCCACCATTTGGCTAAACTGTCTCAGTACATATCGGAGATGCGTAATCCAAGCAAAGCTAAATGATAGGAGGGGCGACTGGCTCTGAGATGAAACGAGTCTTGCACTGTAAAGATGATTATGATGTGGTGTTTGGAGTCGTTTTGTATTCACTTGAGGATGAGTTGTTCTTTGGTAATTTAAGTTGGTCCGGCAATGTTCCATCATATTAGAGTGCCTCGCGATAAATTGTGTGCGTTTTGCTATTCGATGTATCTATTACATGCCTGAAAGCGACTGCAGGAAATTCTTCCAGTTGAAGCATGATGAAATTTATGGCGGCATCAATTCAAATAAAAATCGATATATTTTTCAGTGGAAGTGGCGCATTTAATCAGATTGACTGTGCACCAGTTTATATGATTTAAACAAATACTCTAAGTCTTTCATATTGATTTTGCTTTCTTCCCTGGGGCTCAGTGGGGGCTGTGGAGTTGAGCAAACTTGTGGTTTCTGCATAATTTGTTTTCTTATATGTTTTGGATTCATAGTAAGAAATATCGAAGTAACAGATTTATATAATTAAGAGGTTCCGGAGCTTTAATGTGCGGTTGAGTCGTGATGTATAAATAAGAGGAGATAATCGTTTGAAATTGGTCTGTACACATTTAAACAAACTGGTTGTCTCGGTTGTATAAAGGGACGGGGACCTTATGGGTGGGAAGAAATATCAGAGGGAAAATGAGAGATCTTATGAGGGGGGAAGAGTTGTGATTTGGAGGGTGAGATGTCACGGAGAGGGTGGTGGGTGGGGGAGACCGCATTGAGAGTCACTACACTGAATAAGGTTGCTTTCTGAGCCGTGTACATTCAAGGCGCTGCTGTTGATTTTGCTTACTCTGGGATTGTGTTCCAGTGCAGTTGGTGATTTTCAGGTGGAAGACAAGACGAGAGCTCTGCTCAAGTTTAACGGCACAGTGACCTGGAAACCGCCGGCTATATTCAAAAGCTCCTGCAGGATGGATGTCACCTATTTCCCATTTGACTATCAGAATTGCAGCATTAAGTTTGGCTCCTGGACCTATGACAAAGCCAAAATTGACCTCGCCCTGATCGGATCCACCATCAACCTGGACAACCTGTGGGAAAACGGCGAGTGGGTCATCATGGATGCGTCAGGATTCAAGCATGACATTAAGTACAACTGCTGCGAAGAAGTCTACGCAGACATCACCTACTCGCTCTATATCAGGCGGTTGCCTCTGTTCTACACCGTCAACATGATCATCCCTTGTCTGTTGATCTCCTTTCTGACAGTCTTGGTTTTCTACCTTCCGTCTGATTGCGGGGAGAAGGTAACTCTTTGCATCTCGGTCTTACTGTCTCTCACTGTCTTTCTTCTTGTTATCACGGAAATTATACCTTCCACCTCACTCGTCATCCCTCTGATTGGGGAGTACCTTCTGTTCACGATGATCTTTATAATCCTATCTATTGTTATCACAGTGTTTGTGCTCAACGTGCATTATAGGACACCCAAAACCCACACCATGCCATCGTGGGTAAGGACAATCTTTGTAGAATTGCTGCCGAGAGTAATGTTCATGGTCAGGCCCACCAAGGACTGGGAGGCCGAGAAACCTCAACAAATCAGGTACCCTGACTGCACAGAGCTCTTCAACCTCAACAGCCTCAGCTCCAGCTCAGAAGCAAAGTGCTCCAAAGTGAGTTCCCTCGGCCAGGATTCCCGATGCAATTGTTACAGGCGCCACATGGCGAGGAACCCAGATGCTGGAGGCAGTGTGATCTCCGCTTGCAGTCCAGATTTCTTGGACTCCCTTCTCGCCATCTCGGTCTGCCCTGAAATCCAGCAAACCATCGAGAACGTCAAGTACGTGGCCGAGAACATCAAGCTGCAGAACCAATGCAACGAGGTGAGGAAGCTATTTTGTTTGCAAGGTTAGCAAGTCAATGCATAAAACAGCGAGAATGTTTACTAATAGATTGAAGGCTGAGCAACAACCTTATGTAATCACATACAATGTCCACTGTACTGAGACTGTGTCCTTGATCGAACTGCTTTATTCGGATCCACTATGATGGATCCGAGGAGAGCTGGCATCTAATTATGTCCCTTCTACTCATTATATCACATGCTGAGTGAATGCATTAATGTGCAATCGTAATTTGATCCAATGCAACATGTGGGACTCTAGTTCAGGACCAGCCGAGACAACATCGCAGCCATCAACTTGGTTCAAGATAATGCATCAGGGTAATAGAAAAAAAAAATCGTTATTGACTTCGTAGAAGATTAAAACTCCAGGATTGATTTTCACCGTTGCAAAGACCAGATTCCAAATAAGCCAATCTAGTAATCTATTTTAATTGTGCAATGGCAAGTGTTTCCATAATTGAAGAGGCGGTTCGATTTATAAACTACAATACATCCTGCCCATCAAACCTATTCTGGTGTTTGATACTCCACTGGAACTATTTACTCTAATCCCAATTACCTGCACCCTTTTATATTCATCCTCTTCAAATATTTATTAATTCCCATTTTATGTATTAATGTTCTTACTTTAATAATACTTCCTTGTGGCAAAGTGTTCCAGATTTAATAATAATCTTTTTTAACAACCCTCCGAGTGAAAATGTTCCTTTTAACTCTTCCCCCTTTAACTCTTCAGTGACACACCGAGTTTTGCCCAAGTTAAATAAAAAAAATAGGGTTGTTCCTGCTAATGCAGGCAGTAAAGAGTAAACGCTTAATTAAAGTAACAGATTTGATAGGTCATATTATCTTTCTTCTATTTTACGGTGCATTCCCATTCTTTTTATTGCATTTTTTCACACTTCTACATATGCGGATCACGAATATTTAGGAATGTAGCTGCTTCCTGATGCCAGTAATTCAAATGCTTTGCTAAAGCGTCCTCTAGTGGGTGGATAATTATTGTGCACTTTCAGCTCCGTATCTCAAGATTTTATATATACTGTATTTTGGATGATCGGTTTTCTTGAATTCAAAAGTTTTTACGCAATGTCGTATAATTTTTTGAAGCAACTTACATTTTGAAACAACATATTGTTATAGCATATCCTCCTGAAAAGTGGCTCATCGGGTTACTAAAAGGAATTTAATTTGGCCACAAACCAACTGGTCAGTTTACTATTTCAACTCCATCTGTGTCTCTGGTGCCAGAATCACTTGCTTCAGATCTAGGTTTGAGTCAGCAAAAATGACTATCAATAATGTAAAACATGAGTTGTATGGATAGCTGGAGAGTTACAAGATCTACTAGTCCTGATGGAAAATGTTACCTTGCTGTTTATGTTGCAAAGTGCAAATTATAATAATAATCCTTGCATTTGATATAGCGCCTTATCACCTCGTTGATATGTCTCAATGCGCTTCACAGAATATACTGTAAAGTGAATTGACTGTATATTTTGTTGGCAAAATTTAATAGAATGTTGCACAGAATTCAGGTAACTAACAGCGAAGTAGGAGGTCAGATTCAGCCAGGCCATCTGAAAGCCCAGCTCCATCCCTTCGCTGATTTGCTGCATATATGCGATTTCACGTGGGACATACCTGATCACAGGCAGGTTGTGAGGAGACCCATGCATTTTTCATGGAAACAATGACAGGGTTGACTCAGTTGGTAGCACTCTTGCCTCTGGATTAAAAGTTTGTGGGTGTAAGCCTCATGTCAGGACTTTGAGCTCATTTGTTGCTGGAGGCAACCTCTTTGGGTCAGACTGTTAACCAAGATCATATTTCCCTGTTCAGATTGACATTAACATCCCTTGACACAATTTGAGTAAAGGGAGTTTTCACTGGTGACTGAGCTACCAATCCACCAAGTCACTTGGTGATTCACCTTAAATGCTGTTCTTGGGATATTTACTGTCTGCAAATTGACAGTTGTGCTTGTCAATAAATGCATAGCAAATGCTCTTTAATACAATTCTACGTGAAGCACTTTGAACCATTTTGATGTTATGGCTGCTGTATCAAATGCAAGGGCTGAGCACATGTCTGGACAGAATCTGCTAGTGGATTACCCCTTCAAATCCTCCAGGGTATAAGTAGAAGTTGTAAACGAAGGGCAGCAAAATAACTGGAATAAATGGTACATTAAAAAAATGAATACAAACCAAAATGATCTTGCTCTAATCTTTCTATCATGCTGCTTGTTTCAGGTTGAGGATGATTGGAAGTACGTTGCCATGGTAATCGATAGGATTTGCCTCTGGCTCTTCATCCTGGTGTGCGTTTCGGGCACTGTAGGTTTGTTCCTGCAGCCACTGATGCTGGGAGCTGAAAATACGATTGCTGAGACCAGCGGAGGCTGATATGAACACAGGACCACCCCCCCACCATCATTCACCCCCGCGTGCGCACACATACATAACCAGGAGTAAAGTAGGTGGGAAAATGTAGCTTCAATTGTTAGGAAGAGACCTGTAACAAAACGTGCTTCTATATACATTTATATAGCACCCTTCACTTAGGATAATGTGTTGGGAGCATTCTGCAGTGGCTGGATTGTGAATACATACACAGCGTAAACAATATATTGCAATTATTTGCCAGTACAAAATGGAAGAAAATGAGGAAGATAATGTCTCGGGGTTGGAAGAAGACTGGACAGGGTCACAATGGAAATGACTAATGTTTAGTTTAGTTCTAACTGCTGTAGATCTGACCTGGGAAATTTAAATGCATATTTGTGCTGTGGGGACTGGATTAAGATATTTATACCAAGATATGGGATTATACATGGGACTACTTGTCTTTATAGCGCTGCAATACATTGGTTAAACATGCTGAATCGTTTGAGGAAAGGGAAGACTTTGGAATCTTTTATGTTTGTTTTCATTAATAAAATTATCTCAAATTTGGATGTCAAAAAGTGTTGTATTTACACACAAAGTACAGTATTCTGAAACATGAAACAAATTGTTTGTTCTTAAAGCACATGCATAACTCAAATAGAGTTCAACATTCCAGCTTTTAAACTTTATTGTACAATACTCCCATTGTTCTCGAAAGAATCTGGCAAATATTTTGAGATTTCAGCTGTTAACCCTCATAGTAATAACAGGCTCATTGTTCCTTGATCTGGGCCAATGGATGGCTGCTCAAGACGCCCATTTTGCTTATAGCATTTGCTACTCAGGCAAGCGACTTAATAGTTGAGCAAATTATGCTAAATTCTTGCTGAGATTTCAGAAACAACTAGTCTCTAATAACCGTAACACTGTATATTAGGTAAAAACTGATAAAAGTGTTTGTTTCCTCCCCCCAAAAAAATCAATGGATCTTTTGCCTCCTATCAGTGGCATGTATATTAAATATTTGCTTGTGCAAGTGTAGATTTTAAAGAGGAACACAAATGCCAAGTGCTTGATCCACAGATGAATTTCAGGAACCGGTTTTGTTTTAATATATTAAAATATTCCTATTTACAAGGATCCTCTGCAGAGCTCAATGTAACGATGTTGGCTGCTAAACTCTTATACAATGGAGTATCAAGGCTCTCTGAACTTTTATTGTTTCCGAACATATAAGAGAAACACACACTGCATCTTTCCAGTTTATAACAGCTCATATACTGGAACCAAGTTAGTGGAAGTCCTTTACCTGTTGTTAAGCCCAGTAAACGTGAATACCTATAATGCTGAATTGTTTTTAACAATCATCTTGCGGGAAGCATAGCATATTACATTGCTCGCACAAAGCACCACATCAGATCAAACCACTCTGCTGTGCATAATGTGAAACGTGAGATACGCATTTGCTAAAGAAGGGTTTTCCTTGTGTGATAGGATTACTGTGCTCCACCAGCAAATATGAGCTCGAGGGCAGCCTGGATGTCGCCTCCAGTTGCCTGCAATGCCCTCAGGCTCAGTTCGTCATCCTGGATGCCCATGTCCCTCAGTTGCTGAAGCTGTGGCTGCCACTGATTCTGAAAGAGATGAGCCATAGACAATGTGTCCGCCACAGACATAACCCTACCACTTCCCCCGAGAAGGGTTCATAATCTCAAGATTAGTACAAGGTTAGAAGGAAGGTTGTCCCCACAAAGATGTAGAAAACATTACCATTAAGTGGTGAGTCAATTAGGAGATTTAAAAAAATTAATACACCTTTTGTGTACAAAAAAATTACTAAACGAATATAAAGGAAAGTTAGCAAACAAGGACTTTACACACAGGGTGGTAATAACAGAGTATATAAACTCCTAAGGAACTTGTGGTCACTGGTTGCTGAGGTACTGACCTGAAGTGCTGAGATACTGGATGCTTGGAGAGCCTGTTGGAGAGCCTGGCTGAAGATGTCATGACTGATTGGAGTGGCTGAGGGCAGTCCGGAGCCGAGTACAGGTGACAAGCTGGACGAGGTACCCTGTGAAGTGAGCCAAGCGAGACAACTTACAGCACAGTAGTTAATGACCTAAAGCAGGGCAGCCCATAGTTGGACTGAGTAACTGAGTCAGTACCTGTGTTCCAGGGGTTGGTGTAGCAGCGCTGCTCTCAGGGGTACTGGCCAGTGCCAGGGCGGTAGCGAGCTCGCTTTGCGTAATGGGTCGTGGCCCAACAGAGCCGCTGTAGCCCAAAGTGGCGGGACGGGAGCCAGACACGTTGCTGGAGGAAGGGCCGGACCTTGTGTTCTGTAGTGGCAACCAAAAGTATGTTTCAAGTACACAGTAATAGTGACGATCAGAAAAGAAGGCACCTTCGGAGGCAGCAAACATTTACCCCCAAAGTAATTACAGTAATATTAGGAAATATTAATCAAAGCAGCCATTGCTTTTAAAGTTTGGGTTTAAAGACACGTAATTACTTTAACATTTTCTCCAGGTTAAATGAAATGTACAAAAGCAAAAGGATAAGGAATGTCTGTGGAGATATATTTCCCTGAACCCCTGTATTATGATGTACAAACAAACATCTCTTCAGCCTGCCAGAAAATGTTATTACAGGGAGGGGGGAGGGAAGTGGAGGAAAGAAACTCACTGCAATTGAGGTAGGGACTGCTGTGAACCTTACAAACTGATGTGATACACAAAATCAAGTAATGGGATAGACAGAGTCAAACAGAACAATTATCTCACAAATATAAATACAGATAGTTCATTGCATTCTAATATTTTATAACAGTTTATCTTGCAATTTTAGGATAAGAGTAAAACCTTGATCTGAGAAGGTTATTTCCTTTTCAAGAATAGGTTTTGGGTGAAGATTCAAAGCAACCTATAGCGAAATACCAGCTGCACAGTGTCACTAAAGGCACCTTTACCTGCTGAAACTCATCTTCATCATCAGAGAGACCCTCAAAGAGAAATCCACCTGAAATATGATCAAATTGTGAACATTAAAACAACATTGTTTATTGTTAAATAAGACTACAATGCAGATTACAGATATCACGTACACAGTTGAGATCAATGAAATAGATGGAAAGCTGATAAGTCACACAACCGTGTTATAGCTTTATTTCCCCTGGTTGTGTAGCTGTTTCTCACAACCCAAACTCGTCCCTTACCCGGCATGTCACTGTAGGAGCTGGATGGTAAGTTGCGAGAGTTACTGGCAGAAGACGGAGGGGGTGCAGCTCCAGCCACAGAGTGTAACACTAACACCATTGCGTTGACCAGTGCAGGGTGCGAGGAAATCAAACTGTGGAGAGACACAGATCCAATGTAAATATATAATATAAAATTATAATAATCCTTGCATTTGATAAAGTGCTTTTCACATCTTCTCAACGTCTCAAAGTGCTTCACAGAATATTCTATTCTGCCTGCAGAATACCTCTGCTCAATGGAAAACAAGACTTCAATATCCATGACAACAGACTGCTGATGTGATTTTATCACCTGAAACAAGTTGCAGCAAAAGAATTAGATGTGATCATTGCTGTAACTAAGCTAGACTGACACAAGATGAGGTCAGCACTTACGTATCTAGCAGGCTTGGGTCAGTGAAGAGGACAAACAAATCCTTGTCTTGCAGCACACCTGGTTCAAACAGAAAAAAAAAGGTTCTTAGAAAAAATCTGGAAAAAAGCAAAACACTTGATTTCTCCATCGACAATGAAGTGAGTAGCTTCAAATGTCACCAAATGTTACATACATGCAGTACTTTGAAGGATTTTTCTGTGCTGTGTTAGTTCATCTCAAACAGAGGTATAATGAAAGGAAAATAAAAGTAAACCACAATATGTGATCCAAGTTTAGAAAAGTAAAAGTCAAGGTCAGCCAGGATTTCCATTCCTGATCATATCCAGCGACCCTCAGTAGAAAGTGAGTATGTGGCTGCCCGATGAGGACAGGAACTGGCTTAGTGGTGATGCACCACACAGTTGAATAGCTTGTTGACATTTACAGACAAAGAATGTCAAATTGGTTGAAGTAGGAGTGAAGTTAGGGATACCATCTCCAACGATGCAGCCCTCCCCAGAATTGCACTGGATCGTGGCCTACGTTATCATATAAATCAGTCACAGTGAGATTACAGCCACTTAAATCCATTGTGCCAACTACACTGAAATTGTAAAATACAAGGAGACCTGCTCTGTATTTTCTGAGCAATCATCATCAGTGCCAACAACCAAAAGAAATTACCTTCTCTCCAAACAACTCACCTAAAGCGATAGGATCACTGGAAAGTCCTGGTGTAGCCACAATAATCTGGTCAAGTGATTCCTTGTTCCCCAGCATTTTGAAGACCTATAATTAATTCAATAAAGGTAGGCAACCTGGTTTAATAGAATTCACTGCAACACCCTGCACATACTGTTTTAAATAGCTTGGTTTGAATTTCTCTACAATATACTTTTAGCTTTGAAGCATTACTTGCAGATATTGTGAAGCATCAGGACAAGAGATGTGAAGGATAAATTTTGATAAACAATAGGGTGTATGGAATTACACAGAGGGTAAGGCAGAGCGAGGGCTACTTATACCATGTTGGAGGAATGTTGTCAGGGTGGGTAAATCAATCCAGATTGGAGCAGTTGGGTTCATCTGAACAGAATGGTTCAAGTCTCTGTAAGCATTAAACAAGCACACAGCTTGATCTGAAGGGTGACACTTACTGCATCTCTGTATCCTGGGCTGGCGTGCAGGGCTGTCTGGAGCACACGGAATTCCCGAGCTGCTGCAGCCCGGTCCACCGGCTCTGAAAAGGGGGAAGATATCAACAACACATGAAACTTGCAGCTTGGACAAAAAAGCCATAGGTTTTGTTTAAGTCTACACAACGTTTAAACATAGAAAAAAGAGCATAATTTGCCCTTCACACCCATATAAAACACATTTAGTCAATTGCAGCACAAGACAGACATTGCAGAAAATTCTCTTGAATTAAACTAGAAACAAAGCTCCCTCTCAATACTACAAAACAAGGACCCACTGTTAGCAATGTTGCTGACTGTAATAGCCATTTTTAAAAATGGAGGAAGTGAGTTAAAGAGATGTGTTGGTGAGGGAAAGTGCAAATGAGAACTGTAAAGCAGTGAGTAGATATGCCTGGTGAAGATAACCAGATTTGCAGTAATTCAAGAACCAGAATCAGAGGATTCAACTGTAAGCAGAAATGAGACTCTCCTCCCTCCTTTCATTCCCTGCCACAAACATTTTCATTTTAGCCCTGATTTAGTTTTCCATACCGGTCTTTTCATCAGGTTCGGGCCAGGATTTCTTTAACACGTGTATTGTGGATCCACCCTGAATTCCGTAAAAATCCAAGGTTTGCTCATCCTTCAGCTTCCGTCCACAGTAAACAAGGTCTGAAAAACAAATCAAGAGATGTTTTTAATCTCAATCAGGAAAAGAACAGAAAGCCTATCCCTGTAACCGAGAGAATGCAGAAGTTCACTGGTCCAGTGTATCAACTTCCAAGACCTTCATTATCTGATTCATATTACTTAATTACGAATTGCTGTCCTTGTCATCACAGAACCATCTTATATGTTGCCTTTGACAGTTTACGTCATACTAAATAAATCAAAATCTGTAACATAAAGATGCCACTTTAAAATGCTGAATCTCTATTTTTCACCCTCAGTACAATGTTGTGCTCGAGTCTGTAGGTAGGTAGGGAGGTAGGTCACGTTCTTCCCTCCTGCTCTAAGAATAACTGGCAGAGAAGTTCATCAAGTTCTATCTTAAATTATCATGGTCCCCTCAGAACTCATCGTAGCATTCCCCTGGCTTCTTGCCCTAATGTCTCTTTACTTGCTTGAAGTCGTTTCCCCACTCTCCCACTGGATATGATGTATCATTCCCTCCTCTAACTCCCATCCTCATACTCCGTCCCACACCCCTCTCATTGTTTGTCATCTAAGGTTGTCAACAGTCTCGCCTCCAAGTCAGGTTATGGATTCAAACCCACTTTGGGACTTGAACTGGTATAAAATAAGCTGACGCTCCTACACACTGCGCATGGGGGAGGGTGTTGCATTGTCCGTTGGATGAGATGTTAAACCCAGATCCCATCTGCCTGTTCGTTAATGATCAACAACAACAACCACTTGTATTAATAGCAATCCCAGGGTACTGTTCGAGAAGTAGGTGAAGGGAGTTTTTTTTCCTGGTTTCCTGGCCAACAGTCGCCCAAAAGTCACTGGTTTCATGGCTGTTTATGGGGGACATCGCTGTGCGCCATTGTGTTGCCAAGTTCGCCGATGAAAACACAAGTCACCGCAGCTCACAATAAATCCTGCGCTTTGAGATGTCCTGGCGATGTGACCGGCACCATAACAAGTGCAAGGTTTATTTTTATTATTATTATTCCCAGGCTCTGTCCCATTTCTCCCTCTCTCTCCCTCCCTCTTCTTCCCTCACTCTCTCTCTCTCTCTCTCCCTCCCCCCCCCACTCTCTCCCCCCCTCTCTCTCCCCACCTCTCTCACCCACCCCTCTCTCCCTCCCCCCCTCCCCCCCCGCCCCCTCTCTCTCCCTCCCCCCTCTCACTCTCCCCCCCCGCCCCCTCTCTCTCCCTCCCCCTTCTCACTCCCCCCCCCCCCTCTCACTCTCCCCCCCTCTCTCTCCCTCCCCCCGTCACTCTCCCCCCCCGCCCCTCTCACTCTCCCCCCCCCTCTCTCCCTCCCCCCCCCCCCTCTCCAGCCACCTTACCGATCAGCTCCGGGGCGGCGGCTGATCCGGGCAGTTTTTGAGCGATCAGCTCTTTGAGCGCTGAGATACGGACTCCGCCCCCGGGTCCCTGCTGCAGCTCCTCGGGTAAAGCCAGCGACACCTTGGGGGCCAACGGCTGATCGGCCACTTTGACGGCGATCCTTCCCAGCGCCATCTTCAGCTCCCATGGAGACCGCGCCGGAAGCCTCCACTTTTTTCCGCCGGAAGGTCGCTCTACCGGATATCCGGTTGCTCGGGCTTCTGGGAGTTGTAGTCGGTGCTCAGTGACAGGGCAGGACTGGGGAGGGGGGGGGCACCAGAAACTCACTTGATTTACATTTCGTTTGTGCCCTCTAATGGATAAGAAGTACTCGACTGAGAGGCTCTGTGGACTTCTGGAGCTTGTGGAAGGTCAACTCAGGAAGGGGGGGAGTGAGGCAGCGATTCCGGTCAAAGCGGTTTGAGACGTCTGGAAGGCGCGATATCGAATGCAAGGATTATTATTATTATTTATTATCCTTACAGCCATCGAGGCAGATTAGCCGGATGTGTGACGCCCTCTGCCTCGGGTTGTCTGCGAGAGAGAGGATTCGGCAACGACGTTTCCTACCCCTACCCGGGGAGGAGGCGCTGCCAGCTGTCGCACAAAGGCAACGAGGGGTGAGAGAGCGGCGGGACCGGCACACACTCCCCCCCCCCCCCACCACCCCCCTCCCGGAGACCAGAGGGAAACAGTGCCTGGGCGTTTGTGGGGCTGGAAGCCAAGAACTCTGGGCATATAATAATAATAATCCTCGCATTTGGTATCGAGCCTCATCACATCGTTGAGACGTCTCAAAGCGCTTCACAGAATATATTGTAAAGAGACTGTGTTTTGTGGGCGAAACGCGGCAGCCGATTACGCAAGCAGTCGTGGACTGAGTAACCAATATTTTTTTTTGAGGGATTATTAAAACCAGAAAACGATCCGCCAATCGACTAACAACCAGGTCCCTACTTACCGCTAGGTAAACAGAGGCGCGTGGAGTAAGGAAACTTGCCAATGATTCCGCCCTGCCCGGGTCCTATCGCTTACATATCCACATATCAACTGCCTGCTCCCAGCACTTCTCAAAGCAGCTTGCTGACCTATGGGAACCTGGTGCCGGGCTTGGATGTGATGGACATACCAGGCACAATGGAGAAGTTGGGGCAGAAAGTGGACAGATCAGGGTGTCACAAGAAGGTTCCTGAACGAGAAAGTGGCTGCTGGGTTAAACGCCTGTTTTTTCTGACCCTTGTAACTATGAACAAAATGTTAATTATCAGAGTTGGTGGAGCTATTTTTTAGTGTGGAACAGATTATATTCACATTATGGCACATTATGAGTAAGACGCAGAGCAAATGCTGGGCATTTGCAACGAGAAGTGCCCGGTGGCCTGGGTTATAATAGCAAATATGTTTTTTGTCAATACAAATTGAAGATATTTTATAAAGTAAATAAATGGCATAAACTATCAATTAAACCAAGGTCCTGTTTGCCTGTTCAGGTGGACATTAAAGATCCCATGGAACTACTCGGAGAAGGGAGCGAGTCCTGGTGACTTGGTGATTCACGAACCAGGCCAACAAACCACCCAAATAAAATTGGCCATTCACTGCAAAATTTGTGGGAGAATGTGAAAATGGGCTGCCATATTAATTTACAAATATTAACTACTACACAGTAAAATTCTGTGAAGTGCTTTGACACAATGTCTTGAAGTGAAAGGCACTATACTAAATATGAGTGTTAGTATTGTCTGGCTACAAATTGCCAACAGATTCCATTTCTGCAAATATCAATGTTCAGCCACATTGATGGTCCAAGTTACCAGAAAGGGAGGTAAAGGCCACTGCATTATGGAAGATCTTGATGCCAATGGGAAGCCTGTATATTCTCAAATGGGCCAAAGGGCCTTCCTCATTTCAGCCCTTGAAGAAAAATTGCATTTTTAAAGATTTGTTTATGTATATCCATGGAAGATCAGTATTTTCATTCTCTTCTGATGGGATCCAGTGCAGAAAGGGCTTTGAATTTTGGGAAAATGTGGGTATATGTACTATTTGTCTGCTAATGCAATATTTATAAATTTTACAATACATTTTGTATCTTTTCCTTCATAGGGGCAATGGGGTCATTCATCATTTCCTGCCAATCTAAGTATATGCTGTAGAAAATGTCCAGTGTGTCTGAGCTTCAACAGTTCTAACCTCTCAGGTTGTGTAATACTGTACAAGCAGAGATTGCTGAAGTTGAATGTGCTGCTTTAACTAAAATGATCATTTCACATGTGGTACAAATATAAATCTTTTTTGATGATTGCTTTGATATCATTAGCATTAACACTGCAAATAGATGGAGTAGTTTCTAAGAGATATAATTGAATGGTATAGTGTCGGGTAATATGCCTAGGTTTTTGGCCTCAATTAATCCTGTAGCTCAGTGGTTAGAGCACTCGCTTTGCAAGCGAGAGACCTGAGTTCAATTCCAGGCAGAGGGCGAAACCTTGGGCAAGTTTCCTTACTCCACACGCCTAATAATAATCCCTCCAAAACAAAAACAATAATAAATTGGTCATCTTCAATCTACGACTGTTTGTGGGATATTGCTGTGCGCAATTGGCTGCCGCGTTCGCCCACAAATATACAGTCAATTCACTTTACAGTGTGTTCTGTGAAGCGCTTTGGGACGTTCTCCCGACGTGAAAAGCGCTATATCAAATGCAAGGATTATTATTATTATTATGGGGAAAATTGACCAGGATTATCAGAATATGTATCAATCTGCCAGTTCCTAAATAAGTGAGCTGTGGTCTCCCAGACGGAAAGAGTACCTTTTGGTAGTGATCACCAATTTCATTGAGAGACAGACTGACTTTGGGAAACAGTACACATTGATACAGCAGAAATAATTCTTAAGACTGGAAGTTAATATTGTTGGAGACAGCATGTCAACCAAAGTTGCAAGTGGGTATCAATTTAGATATATCTTTCAATAGTATCCAAGGTAGATAAAAATAACCTTTGCATTTGATGTAGCACTTTCATTTCAGTCTCACTGGATTTTCCCGTAAAGGATCGTGACTATTTACACTCAGATGTAAAACTTCTGCTCTGCCTGCCATAAATATTAATCCCCCACCCCACTCCATTCAAAGATGAAACCAATCATTGTGCCATTTCCAGGCTATGTTCAGCAAGAAAACAATATAGAAAAGGCAAATGAATCTAGTAATAATCAAATGAAGTCGGAGTCTGCAAGTCTGCAATTTGATTGGAACAAACATTTTTAGTTGAATTTGGAATCTGAGCTACAAAATGCAAAATATTCTATAATCTGCAAGTAAATTCAAAAGCTCTTCATTACCAATGTTTAATGTACCAAAATCCATTTTGTGAAAATTGGATATTTCTTTACTTCTTTCCAGACTATGGGGTGGCAAAGGTTTCATAGGACACCCTCAATTTGTACAATTGAAATAAATCTAAGTGAACAGCACTTACTTTTGCAACTGAATTAACTCCCCGAAAAATGGAAATGATATAATTTCTCTCCTGATCTTGCTCACATTTAATCATTTTAAACAAAAATCACAATCACCTTCAGTAATTAGACTGTTGAGCACGCTCCTTAGTGGATGCCAGAAGCATTGCAGTATGTGATACTGGTGACAGATGTTCTCTTCATTCTTTACATTGAAGAGGTTTTTAAAATCCTATCCTGAATGGAACACTCGATTCTGGTAAAAGCTTGTAGCAATTGTTTGATTCAAGTTTCCACTATATTCATCGGCCTTGGTTGAAATAAAATGCCGGGCAATTAAGTGTTTTTAATAAAACCATTTACATGATTGTTACACAACAGAATGATTACAAGAATCACACCGCAATAGGTTTTTCTCTCATTTTGATGTACTGCAATTCACGTACACGTCAGATAACCACTCGAAGCACCAGAATTACAAGCTCTGGAGTGAGTAAAGTACTGCAGAATAAGTACATTGAATAGATAAACAGTAGGTTGAAAACTAAGTTATATTTATCAGAAATAGATGGTGAGAATCTGGATTTTCACAGCGAAATAGGCCTTTTTTCAGCAGTACAGAATATGTAAAGCAATGTGCAATCATTGGGTCAGTTCCATAAAAGGTTGATTGTTTACCAGGGTAAGATGGCTATAATCTACACTGTTTTCAAACCCTCTTCCTTTTCCTAAAACAGAATAAGTTACAGTATTTGACAAAAATAATTCTTCAGCTTCTCTCACAAGAATGTATTATTCTTGAATTTAAGTGGGAATTCTCTGGGACGCAGCTACCAATCACCTATTCCAGTAAGAGATCTTGTTCTTTCATGTACAGCCATATTAGTGTAAAATTGTACCATTCCTGTCCTACACAATAAAATCATATTGTTACCACCTAATTTTAGTACCAGTTAAGCTATCTTAATTGATTTGAAGCTCACACCATACAGTTGCAGATTGTAAACCACACTGAGGGGGATGGGGGAGGGAGGCACATTCAAGTAGGTCTTTCAGCATTATGTAACTAGTATTTTAAAAGGAGGTAGAAAACTAAAACATCTTAAGTTCAAGTAAACTAATTTGGCCAGTTTTATCAAATGTGGATATTTACCATCTGGCATTTGATTATACCNAAAAAAAAGCTATTTTATGAGTTACGCTAGGTGCAATTTCTCATCCAATATTGTCATCTAAACTATAATTGTACATATTCTCTGATCCTCACCATTTCGTGGCATGTAAGATTGTCCATGGATTACACTCCCCTCCCCCCCCCCACACACATACACACACACATTTTGTTTACAGGATGCATTCTACAATTTCATGTATTTTTCAACAGCTTATCTACAAAATACTGATAATTCTCTTTACATATATTTTATAATATTTTATCATTGTATCATTTCAACCTAATATCCTTGTGTTTATCCTTCTATTCTAATTTCCTAATGCAAGTAGAATATCTATATTCATTTCTTCAGGTGTAATTATGTTGATGGTGGGGGGGGGGGTGGAGAGAAAAGAGATGGCTTTCCTCTCTGATCCACAGATACATTTCCATTTGAGGAGTTGCACACATTCTAAAAATCTGAAAAGTAGTAATTAGTATCTGAAAGTCACATTACTTCATTTGGTTGAAGCTTTTAAAGTGACAGTACAAAACCCAATTTTTTGTTGGATAGTCACATGGTGTATAAATGCATATAGTGTTTGTAACCATAATTCTTTCTTTGCACTATTAGACTTGAGAGGATTAGGGCAGAGGATTTATTAATGTTTCTTTTCTGAATTTAAGCACATTCTGATAAAATGCAACAATTTTTAAAAATATATTTAATTTTATAAATCACAATATGAAAGATGCTTAACCTATCAACTGTGGGTCATCTGAAATCTAATTTGAATAAAAATAATCATCTAGTAGGTGACCGCATCCACACCCAAGTTGCAGTGTCTCCAGCACATAACTTGTTGCACAAAAGGAAACTTAGTGTCAATTAGTCTCACAAATAAAATACTATCCTGATTTTCAACATAAGTTCATCCTGTAATTTAAAAAACATTAAAATTGGGTAAGAATAATCTCCCTATCTGTACATAAACTCTTCATAATACAGGAATATTTGGGACAAAATAGAAAGCTAATTTGCTACCAAGCAGCTTTGCAGAAGATAAATAGTCCATAGATCAATCATCCATGGAACTCACATTCAGGGCAATAAGCTCTTGCGACTAAAAGCTTCAGGGAGCTCAACCCATTAATGAAGACTGGATTTATAATAATAGATGTAGGCAACATCTCGGTTGATATTCTGACACAATCATTTCCCTTGTAAATCTTGCCCGGTGCTATACAAACCTATAGCAAATTTAGCATATTGAAGCATTCATTTGGGAAAATGCACGTCCTGGAAAGAAATAAAGAAATAGCCAATTTCACCAATTCCACCAATCAGGAGTCCCTCAAGTAGGATCCTTAATGGAACACATATCAGCCCAAACAATGAGGGAATTTGCAAACAACCAGATATGCTTGCCTACTGATATCATTTATATCACTTTGGGGCTATGAAGTCTTCACTATTGCTGAAGATTAAAATACTTTGCAGAGTAAATAATACAGGAGTTGCAGGATTTAATACTGAAGACAGACATATATTCCTTATAAAATGTGTTCAAAGGCGTATGGTGTTACACTGAAGCAACTCATATTACATCATGTCTTAGAATTGATTTGAGTAGGTTTCCAAGTGAGGAAATCGCAGTTGCCATGTAATCAGGGCAAAACTTTGTCCATGTGTAATATGCGATTCTCACCAACACAGGATTCCAATTTTCCTTTCCTTTTTCCCTCCTTCCCATGTCCTAAACACCTTCCTCTAACTGGTTGTACAACACAATTTGGGTGATAAACTTCTCAATAACTACCATCAGCACTACCCTGAGGTGAACCAGCCCAAGAGCCAAATCAAATCAGAGGTCAGTCAACATTTCAGTTTTTCTCTTCCACTTGATTTCCATCCAGCACCTGGCCAAGATCCAATGGATTGTATTGGATTTATTTATCAACCTGTTTTCGTGCAACTGACCCACTGATGCAAGGTTAGCAAAGTGGCTGTAGTTTTTCAAGGCATGACATAGTAAACATATAAATTGTCATAGCTTCAACAACAAACATCCATTTTAAGAGCATGTTGCAGCTTGCGTATTATGTGCCTAGGAGGAAAATAATTGTTGCTTATAGTAGACATCACGTCCCAAAACGTAGAAATCTAATACATACACTTTAAATACTGCCATTTACAAAGTGTGAACATATACAAAATAATTGCACATTAATCCAATAAGGAACAAAAAGAAAGCAAGCAGCAATCACACAGGTTACTGCAGTTGTAGAAGCTTCACAATACGACCGAGGGATTCTACTGAGGCGAAGGCCAGGTACTGGCAGCAAAGCCAATCCTCGAGGCTAACGTTGCATTCAGTGTCTAGAGCTTTCTCTGCAAATTTGATCATAAGTAGCGTTCGCTTTAAGTCCAACCAGTTCTGCAGCACAGCATCTCTCTGAGCAATGTTAGCGCACGAGTTGAAGGTATGGAGTAGATCGTCACGTGGTCCCCACAGGAGGCATTGCAGATAGACTTTGGCGTCTGAAATTAGGATGCGCTCCGACGGGTTAGGGTGTAGGAGAAGCCCTGCCAGCTGCTGAAGGCCTTGAGAATAGATGGAGCGCTTTGGTATGGCTGGGAGGTCCACCCGGGTGTATTCTTTCTCTTTCAGTTCTGGATTTTCCTCAAATGGATTGGGCAAGTGTAACATCTCGTATATAAGGATCCCCGTTTGGAATTCATCGCACTTTTTATACTGGGTGATGGTGATGATTTCAGGCGCTAGTCTGGACTGATCCCGTAAAATCTCTGGATCTACTACTTGGCTTTTTTGCTTTGCCTGCGAGAAGTTACTGACGATCAGTCTAGCCAAGTGTGAGGGTGAGCTTGTGGGATCAGATTCACAGCCTCCTTGTCGACAGCGCACCAAGAGCAGATTTTCTAACCTCAAGTCACAGTGTGTCACATGATGTGGCTTTAAATGATCCAGACCAGCACACAGTTGAAGCAGCAGTAAGCATACTTGACGCTCATAGATATCTGGACTTTTATCATGCCGAGGTGCAGATTGCTGTACATAGTCAGCGACAGTCTGGTATGGAACCTCTCGGGTAATGACGACCACCCGGCTTCGCAGTTTGCTCGATGTTGATCTGCTGCCGCAGGTGTCCTTCTTAGGGGCATTTGGATCACCCAAGCTTTCTCCAGATTCCTCTTCTAATCCAGGGGCACTGGGATCCTCCCAGGGCAGCATGCGGACAGGGACTTCTGCTAGGAAGTGCCCACAGTCCTGCTGGATATTGAAGTGCAGAGTTAGGCTTTGCCTTACAGCGAGACTGTGGTAATACTGTTGCTGTGATTCCTTTGCTTGGCTTTTACAAATCTGGAAAAAATGAAGAATAAAGTTACAATCATTTGTTACTATAGAAAGATACAGAAACATTGGAAAAAATACTTAAAACGGTACAGTTATAAGAAAATATGTATATTCCGCCACATTGGGGTAGGGGAGGGAGGAGAAGGGAGACTGGGGATATCTTATGTCCTGGCTGAAAAGCGTGTTGTGTGGCTCATGGGTAATACCAGGATTGAAATTCACTCTAATTCTAACCCAATTTAGCAACATTAGCCTTAGAATTCTTAAGGAAAATTCATACTTGAAGCTTTGGGTGGACTTAAGATTAGATAGGATTTTGCATTAGAGATAAAGAACATTTGCCAGTTTCAATTGCAAAACTCATCAGGTGAGATTCAATTGCACTACAATACTACTGAAAGGCAAGGACAGGATTTGCACATGAACGGGTATAAACACGTTTAGCAAAAATGCTGAAACAAACGATCTTTCAAAGGGTACAAGCCTTGAGGGATTCCATGATTCCTTCTACTATTCATCCATATTTAGAAATATCAGAGCTACAGTCACAACTCCAAACTGCGCTCCTGTAGGCCTGGGAGCACCTTGCTTTCTTTCTTAGTCAAGGGCTCATAAGAGAGGTTCAGAAGAAGAAGGCCATTCAGCCTATTTGATCTCATCGTTACAATATATCCACCCTACCATTTTTGATACACAATGTCTAGAGTCTTCAACCAGCAGGACTTCAACCAGCTTTCTTGGAAGTCCTGCCCACCCTCTTTGTAAAAATATTCATAAGAAGTTTGTAAAAGGCTCATTTTAAAAAAAAAATTGCTCTCTATGTGAGCTATTTTCCAAAATTGAAGATCAATTAGATTGGAAGACTTTACCTTGTGTCTTCCAATCCATTTTCTTCAATTTGGGAAGACGTGATACATACATTTTACTTAAATAAATGCACTGTAGTAAGTTTGAAAGATAACTGACAACAATATTTAATAACAAAAGTCTTGGGTGGATCAACAAGGTTTTCACAGAAACTCTCAATCTGCTATTGGTCACATAGCGTGTAACAAGGCAATAAAGCTGTAAGGCAACTAACTGAGGTGTCAGTAAAGAATGATTTGAGTAGGTTTCCAAGTAATGAAGTTCTTTACTGTAAATAACCTCAGGAATATCAGAGTTCAGGCAGTCCACAGAAAAACCTAACAAAGACCTCAAACATTTGCACTTGTAATCCATCAATGTCAGGGTGGAGAAAAAAAGCTCTACTTGAAAGGTATAAAAATAAAGTACAGAAATGAAAGCTTTGCCAGATGTAGGGTCTGACAAATTCCTTCTCTCTTCTTAAAGATAGCAAAATAAATGACTAGTTAACAGAATTATGACAATACTGTATTACTAAAGCTAGGAGCAACAGCCTCTTAAAAGCTTTTTGTTTATTGAAGTCAAAGTTTCTGTATATTCTGAACTCTGACATTAACTGCAGCTTCCCACAGATGAATCCCATCATACAGTGAGAGGTATGCTGATCAAACATATCATTTTAGTTCAGCAATGTTTTACAATACATTGGCTAGATCCTGGTTATGTAGAAAGGAACATAATAAATAATAAGGTTTTCAGATACATTTAAACTTTTTCACACGTGTTTTACAAACCTTGTATTGTTTGAGAAGGAAGAGGTGTACCGTTTTTAATCACACTACATTCCACAGGTGGTGATGCAATTTGTTGCGATTTGTGTATCACATTACATGACTAGAGAATTATTTCTCGAAAGATCTAAGGCTGGATTAAATCCAGCTCGATAATTTGTAGTGAGTAATTATTTAGAGTGAAATGGGTTAGAACATTGTATATGTGATGCGAGAGGGCATGACAACTTTTTCTCATTTCATTGTTTGTGTAGCCAAATAGTCGTGGTTAGATGATGCCAAGCTTGAGTGTTTGAAGCTCATAAATTGTACGAGAAAGGGAGGTTTGAGTTAGGTGAGAATTGTTACACACTTAAGGCATGTGCAAAGAATGAAAGTAAGAAGTGTGTTTAAATTTCAACACAGTGAGGTTGATAAGGAGGATGTGAATGTGCAGGATAGGATTTTGCATGATAAAATAAAGACAGGAATGGTTATTGAAAGTAAGAGAGTGAAAGATGGATCACCTATCAAATTTCTAAGGAATGATACATTTAAAATATATTATTTACAACAACAACAACAACAGCAAGATTCTATTTATAGAGCGCATTTCACGTCGGGACAGTTGGGTCAGGACCCGAACAGGGGAGAAATGGTCAGGGTGAGGCGAGGGAAGGGAGGGAGCAAGGAAGGGGTAGAGAGTCGAGAGGGGAGCTGAAGGCACGGTCAAAGAGAAAGGTCTTGAGACTGGCCTTGAAGGAGGAAAGGGAGGAAGCGGCGAAGGCACTGGGGGATAGAGTTCCAGAGCCCAGGGGCTGAGAGGCTGAAGGCCCGGCCACCGATGGTAGGACGGTTGGGGCAGGGGATGTGGAGCAGACCGGAGCCAGAGGAATGGAGGGTACGGGCGGGTAGGTAGGGGGATAGTAGGTCGGAGAGGTAGGAGGGAGCAAGGCCGTGAATGGCCTTGTAGGTGAGGATGAGGATCTTGAATTTAATGTGTTGTGTAAGGTTTCTGAATTCCTTGTCTTAGTGACTGAGCAGAGGAAGACGGGAGAAAATTGGCCAAAAAAATCTTCGGAAATATAGTTTGGAAACCACAATCTTGTTTATATATTAACAAAGACGTGATGTGATTGCCATGTGAATATTTGCAGACATGATGTTATTTCAATCTTCAAGTGACCAAAAAATGCTGAAATACTATCAATTTAACCGCGTAATAATAAATGAGAAACTCACCATTAAGACCACCCTACGCAATGGGGTTTTCTTAAGTCTCACTGATGAGCCAGTCTCGTGAGTAGTAAACCATCCACAATAATGCAGGCACTACTTACCTCCTCCTCTCTCCACAGCAAATACTTTCTTTGACAACATTAGCAAACAGAGCAGAGAAAGTATTTTGACTGACATGTGATCATATAATTCTAGCTCTAAAAATTTGCATTAGATATAGCACCTAAAAAACTTCATAGCACTTAAACCATTTCTGTAAAGTGTAGTGACAATGTATTTATAGGTGAACTCGGTAATCAATTTGCACACAACTGTGTCCTAGCTGCGATGAAGTGAGTTACTAATTTTATCTGGAAGATTGTTGGCCAGGACTTATATACTTTTGGCAGGCTATCACATCTAATGGGCAGATAGCCTTCCCGGCTCTGAACAACAGTGTAATTCTATACAAGACGAGATGTTCTTTTGTTGGAGTTCATCCATCAAGCTTTGTACTTGAGTAAAAAGTTAATAAGCCAAAGAAGCACAGTAATACAGAGCTGATCCAATCAAATTAAACTTTCATAACCGGAAAGACAGCTTTCAATTCAAGTACTGTAGTAATTTAAATATGGTTACAGGATCGAGTATGGCAAAGAGAGGCAAGGATAAACGAATTGGAATACTGAAAATAATTGTCTCATACATAAATGGGGTTTAATTTGCAGCATTTCTTCATAGGATTTGCAAATACGGAATCTTGCCAGTAATTGAAAATGGGTCATGGTGACCTGCAGGTAACTGGAAGTAGATCAGGAGCACTGCATGATTCACCCTAAGACTCAAAGTTGTAAAGAAATTCCATGAACACTGAAAATTCTATATGAGTGTTAAACATTTCAAAGCACTAACAGTATTTTTTACGTGTAGTGACTTTTTTGTAGGGAAATGAGGCTCCTATTTTTGATGTTGCAGAGTGTCACAAACAGCCACGAGATGATTGACCAATCAGTCTGGAGGTTTGTTGACCAAGCCCCTCTCTTTTTAAATAGAGTCAAGGAATCTTGCAGCATACATCTGAATAGGCAAATGAGAACCTTGTGCTGGAAAATATAAGGGGTTTAAAAATACAGGAAAGTACTAGAGATATTCTATACATTACATACATGCTCAGAACGCAATTGCTGAATTAGGTTCTTTCTTGCAATAATGTAGACTTTTTAGGAATAGAGATTTGTCCTGTATGGCTTTGTTTAAGACCTCCTTATAAATGCTCCCTTTTGCAGACAAACAATCACTGAGCTCTTTGAAAGTGGGGTTTCTTTTGTCGTGAACTTGCTTTGTGATTTATTACTGAAGTTCTGTCTCTGCCTTCTCTCTCCTGAAGGCTCTGCCTAATGCTGCGGTAAAGGTCATAGAGCCTCAGGCATCCTCCAATACCAGTGCATTGATCATATGTGCCTAGACAGTCAGTCAAGACTTTTGAACCCAGAGAGAACCCAGAGAACCAGTCCTTGACTGATGTCCTCCTTCCCCCACCAGGGGTCACTAGACTCTGATCAGGAGTGAAAACGCTGGCTGATTTTTTTCCTTCCCAATACTCCATCACTGAAGCCAATTCATGTCAACTCAGTTCAGCCTAGCTACAAGCTAGTATTCCACTCAAATCACATCTGTGCGGTAAGAGCTTGTTGATTATATGACAAAATATAAATAAAAAAATGTAAAAAATTATATGATAAAAAGAACAATAATAAATTGGTCATTTTCAATCCACGACTGTTTGTGGGACACTGCTGTGTGCATTTGGCTGCCGCGTTTAGCCCACAAATATAGTCAATTCACTTTACAACATATTCTGTGAAGCGCTTTCAGTCGTCTAGAAGACGTGAAAAGCACTACATCAAATGCAAGGATTATTATTATTAAAAGACTACTTCAATACACACTATCTCACTGATTACTTAGTTCTCACATAGAGATATAATACTCAAACGGTGATTTGGCTTAATAAAATTAGTATCTTGACATGTTAAAGGAAGGCTAGAATTTTACTTAGACCTTACCTTGATTGCGTATTGGTTATGGAGATCCTTGGCATAGGATGCTGTGTAGTAAACTGCATCGCCAGCCTCACAGCAAGGTCTATCACTCGTCAGCCTGAAGTCTGACCAGTTGTCTAGCCCGAAGCGCAGCTGATTCTTTTGACCCTGCATGAACCTGTCCTCACATTTAGCAGTCAGTTTCTGTAGAGAGTCAGTATGAAGATTTCGAATCTTCATTACCACTTCCTCTTTGTTCTCAATCCCTTTGTATAGTGTCTGCCTCTGTGGCTTTTGTATGCTTTTACCAGATCTCTGAGGAAAGCGGTGCCTTCCAGATAGTGAATCCAAGCTATGCGAACTTCTTTCCTTACTGCTGTTCATGGTCATACTTGAAGCACTATTGACTGTTGATGTTCTAATCTTTGCTGCTGACCTGCCCACTGCTCTGTCCAGTGAATCTCCTGATTCATTGTCGAATATTCTGGCATCTGAACTAATTGAGGAACAGACACTTGAAGCATCCCAGTTTGCGTCTCCAAGACCCTCAACATCATACAGAGGGTTTGCCAGACTTAAGTTGTTTGCAGTAACTTTCTTATTTGTTTTTGGGCTGTAATCCTTTGATGCTGGGTCTGTATTTGCACGGATGATGGTCTTTTTCGGAAGAGGTGGTGGCGTTGGTTGGCTCTCAGACATGGTTTCCAATTCTGCAGATCCTCCAAATGTTATGGCATCATCTGAAGCTCCCTTCACTTGTCTGGGTTGCTTCAAGGGTATCATGTTAGCCCGCGACTGGCCTGTGTAAATCACATAAAGCAGATTATTCAAAATATATTCTTTTAAAAGTATGGCTTTACATCACAAATACTGTTTTGCACATGCTTCCAAAGGATGACTACATTTTTTTCTTATTGTTCAATGTTTGAATTTTACACATCAATTCAGTTACCCCACTTTTCAGCCACAAAGTGAGTTAAAAATGATAATCTTCAACAACATGCACCATGGACAGAATTGTTATGACAGGAATGTATGAAATCTTCCAGCAATGAATGAATAGTGGTAGTGACAATCTGTATATTAGCACATTGCTTCAAAAATTCAGTTTTTGTATTAAGACACCACTATAGTCATTTTCAGTGTGATTTATCTCCCAATATTCTCCCTTCCTTGGTAACTAACTTATACCAGATTTTCTTATGCACTTGTATATTCTTATAACTTATGCACAGTTTTCTGGGCAGGAGCAGCTCTCCAGTGTATCACTAGAATTTGTTTGGGTCAGCCGGGTATCTGACACATCACCATGTTCAAGAGTATCCAGACCAGATAGAATTACACATATCTGTGTCACCTACACATAGACAATTTCCTGTGTCTGGAATACAATGTGTATCCTCTCCCTGGAGGGATACATCCTGATTACCTAATGCTGAAGTATTAGGTGCAGATGGCGAGAGCCACTGCTTGAGGACCCCAGTGTATGTACTGATGTACTCCTAGAGTTTAATCAGCTAAAACGGCATGGCTTGCCATTTTAAGACAAACTCCCTCTGCTTATCTGGTTAGGACTATCATATCCATTAGGCTTTGGCTTGTAGGGTTAACAGGAGTTGAGTGGGAAGAATCCTTCCTCGCACCTCTTGAAGTCCTGTTGATGAGCCATGCAGGCAGGTTAGTCATCAGGAGTGTCCTGGAGTATTGTACACCTGCCTGGCTCAGGAATTGGACTATGAGGCCATTGGGGTTGACTAGATTCCAACATACCTTTGCCAAGCAGGGCACATTGAAGGCGGCTTCACTGCAAAGAAACACCATTTAAATCTCCTCCCAAAAAGAACAGTCTCACTAGAATTACAATGCTACAGAACAAAAAATGGGCTATTTGGCCATCAAGCCTGTATTAGTATTTTTCTTCACCTAAGCTATTTGGTCTAATTCCATTCTCCTGCTCTCCCTTTAGAATAGGGGCCACTACAGTCACACTCAAACTTGTCCGCACTTGCCATTTTCACACATTTCAATAGGCGTCACTGAATTAAAATAAATTGTAAAACCTATGGCTGAATTTCACCTAGGGGCACTGGATTTTTCTTTCAATTCTTCCACACCCAACCTCCACCCACAAGGATGAAAGTTGGAATCTTCCTCAAATGTAGCTCAGCACCCGGTATTCAATGTATTTATCCACGGAGGTATGTGAAGCACTTCTTATTTAAAAAATTGCTTTGAATATTGTACAACTATGAAGAGCGTTTAAGGTTGTCCATGTTTGCAGGAGGGAGAGTGAGAGCGCAACATGGAGAATGCATTAAGAGGAAGGAATGCAATTACTTTAGCAATTCTGTAGCTTTATTTATCAATTATTACCTCATTGTGGAGATATATATATTCAAAGAATATAGAATAAAGTACCATTAAAAAAAAACTCATAAGTAAAAGTTCCCCTTTAAATGAGTTACTAGTTACCAGACTGCTTGTGCCATTAGGTAAGGTGCTAAACAGAGACCAGCAATTTGTAAAGGGAGCAAGGAATTGGAGAATCTGTCACCTCAGGCTTACATTCCCAACCGACCAATTGAATTTAGGCACGTCTGGAAGTTAGTTGCCTGCACATGTTATTTTGGGGGGAGGATGAAAGAAGAGTAGAAACCAAATGCATTCATAAAAATCTGGTTACCGGAATTTGAATACAAAATATTTAAAGTTTCCAATTTTCATGGACCCTAGTCTGTCATATTCAGTTTTATGCAAATATTTCAGATTGTGTTAGTAGGAGGTTAGTTTTACCCAGTAAAATTAATAGATGCAAGTGTTAAGGATGTCATGAGAAACATTAAAGAGATGGGAAGAATCAAATTTATTCATAGTTGTGGTCATAGAATACAAGGTTATTTGATTCCAGACCCAGCCGTGGAACAGAAACAGATTATACAGCAAATTAACAAGCGTGTTATGTATTAACAACAGTTTGGTATGAAGCTGGCATCACTCGGTGTAAAAGGATTATCCAATGTTTTGAGAAGAGGAAAAAAGGAGGGTGGTAAAGTCAAGGTTTAAGGAATTTAAACTTCAGCAAAGATGGGAACAAATGATGATTTATGAACCTGCAAATGCTCAGTTTTGAACATACTTTTAAAAAAATGATATGTTTCAATTGAAAAGCTTTCCAGAAATCTCCCCAAAGCTATTTATGTAATACAGAGTAAGATAATCCATGGACCTTTCAATTTCAGAGTTACACAGTAAGTAATTTGCATAAAATTGATCCCTAACTAAAAAGAACAGCTGCACTGTGCTTCATGTGTAAAAATGATAAGTACTATATTTTGTGTAGTTGAACATAAGTTTAAAATGAATGGACTTTCCTCTGCACTATACTTACTATATTATATTTGGTCTGACAAGAGAGGACTGTAATGAAGCCAGGCATTCATTTGCCTCTAGTTCAAAACTGATAATAGAAATAAAAAATTCTCAACATCATATGGACATTGTCCTCAAACTCTATCTGCACAAAAGTTTTTCCTATGAGCAAACATTTACAAACAGGCACATTCCAGGAGCAGTCACTAGGTGCAGATCAGGAATACATTTCCCCTCCCTGTCCCAGGCATTTTGAAGTTAACTATAGGGATCCTAGTCCTGGTTGAACAGACATTAGTTAACTCAGGACTGCGAGTGAATCTGGATCTTCCTGGTTCAGTTCCACACTGGGCAGTGGAATTACCAGTTGAGCTAATGGGAAAGCTACCTTAACCATTTTTTAAATTGTGACCCAAACTATGACAGAATACTGATGACAGCAATGAATAAATATTGTGTTTGAGCGAAGTGACTTTCCCTTTTTCATAAAATGGGGAGAGGCAGTCATGCAATGCAATATCATATTTGGACAAACAGGACAGTATGATCATGAACATTTTCAACATAAAACTTATACTTGTAGAAGAAGATGCATCTAACGATGACATGATACCACATTTAAAGAAAAATGTGAATACTCACAACAATCTCTCCAGGAGAATTGTTGGCAGAGAGCTGTAGGGATATTCAAAAAGCAGTGAAAATTGCATGAACACGGTACAGATCAGGAATAAAAACCTAAATATTAACTAAATGGACTTTTAAAATGTTGAGCTGCAACATACATTTTTCAGACTAGATCATTTTTAAACATGCATTTTGGGTGAAGATTCAGCGTAACACGTTAGCTTTCAGAAATTAAAACAAAAGTAATCCAGCATGCAAAGATAGCACACTGTAAAACTTAGAGGACAACATGTTTTGAAGATCAGCAGACTAAAATATATATGCCTCTAGTGGGTTTACCTGATAACCATTACAATTTCACACAGGTGCTGTGAATAACACATAACACTGTCATATTCCCCAATTTTCGATGCATTGTTATATTATGAAGTTAGTTCATGTTGGAATAATCGAAATCCATACTTCATTTTTTGACCTCCCCCCACTAAGCTAGTTCTTTGTTTCCTTGCTTGCTAATATCATCAACGCAGTCCCCCTTTCAAAACTGCCGTTACCGCCCCCTTTCTCAAACAACTATTTACATTTATATAGTGCCTTTCATGTCATAAAGATGTCTGAAACGCTTGAAACAGCTGTCTGTGAGCTCAAGCTGGGGATGGGGTTGTGGGGTGTGGTGATAGGTCTTAAGGTGGATTTTCAATGCGGGAGGGAGGAGGCAAGGCAGAAGGACTCTGGGACGGGCTTCCAGGGAAGTGGTAGATTGGTTGAAAGCCTACCCACCCTCTCTATCGCCCCATCTCAAACTTGTCCTTCCTCTCCAAGATACTGGAACATGCTGTGGCCTTCCAGTGACACTTCTGCCTCTCCACTAATCCATCAATCTGTTCCATATGTTTCAGTCCTATCCACAGTAACAACTGAGCCCTGGTCAAAGTCACAAATGGTATTCTCTGTCTGCAATCAGGGATTCTTGTTCCTCCTTTACTTCTCTGTCGTCTTTGACACTGTCAAGCACTCCATCCAATTTCACCATCATTCTTCCCTGCTCTATCTTTGCAACACACCTTCCTGATTTCACTCCTATCTGTACCAACATTTTCCATAGACCTATAAACATTTACAGTATAAAAGATAGCTCACAATGCCTGTGTTGGCTCTCTGAAAGAGCTATCCATTTTAGTCCCATTCCCTGCCATTTTCCTTCACCCTTTCATATTTCTCCTTTTCAGAAATGTATTTAATTCCCTCTTAAAACTGATATGGATTCTTTCTCAACCTTAACCACCCTCTGTGTAAACAAAATCTCCTAACCTCGCCCTTTGTTCCTTTGATAATTACCTTCAATCTAAGCCTTTTAGCTTCTTACTCATCGACCAGTGAAAATAATTTCTCCCCATTTACCCTATCAAAACCGCTTATACAGTCATTTTAAAGTCGTCTATCAGGTCTCCATTCAACCTTCTTGGTTGCAATGAAAATAGGCTCAGTTTATCTTGTTTCTGCTCATAGGTCAAACCATTCATCCCCGGTATCATCCTAGTAAGTCTCCTCTGCATCCTCTCTATGGACCTGACATTTTTCCTAAAGTGAAGTGACCAAAGCTGGACACTATCCATGCTGCAACATTTCCACTAATACCTTCATTTTTTCAGTAAGCCTTCTATGCAGCACCTGGCTACATGGGGCCCAATCTCCATTAGTTTTTTATTCCACAGTGGATTAACTTCAAGATCCTCATTCTGACCAGCAAATGTCTCCCTAAATTTGCCCTTCTGTACCTCTGATTTTTTTAAATTACAGCTTTAGAATCCATTTGTAACATGTAGAATTCCACAGCAGTTCCATGCTTTCAGACTCATCATCACTGATAAGCATTAATACAATTTTAAAGTTCACTTAAAGTCCAAATACATGTTTCTATGTTTATTACACTAGTTAGTGAAAGTGAAACAAGATGTCTCCTCATCACTTTCCAGTCACGCACAGGATAAGGGGGAAAAAAACTATTTGACAACACTTTGGGCATTCCTGTTCATCGGCTCTTCAATTAAATTGAAGCCCAGAATTCATCTGAAAAAGAGGCCACGTTGCCAATTGGATACAGGCCACTCAGACCCATTCTGAAAACTACAGTGGTGAGTTTCTGTTCTAGCAGTCAAAGTGTTAAAAATGGTACATTCCTGTCATACCACCTTCACCATTCTTCCCTCTATCTCTTCAGGCTGGCTTGTTGAAACAGTATTGAACAACATTGCACAAAGTTAAACTTTAAAGTCCTTCCTTCATTTAAACAGCAATCACGTTGGGTGAGGGGATTGCGAGGCCTGCTGACTTGCTCTTCTCTTTCACACAGACAGAGTTTGTCTGGCCAGTATGGTTTTAATCTTGTAACCACTTCCTGCTCAATCTATCTGAACAGAAGCTACCTACGTTACATCTGTATTCTTCACTTTATAGCCAGAATGCTCATCGGCAGTCAGCAGTGATACTAAAGGAGCAAAAATTCTATGAAGGCTGGACAACAAGATATAAACAGATCGTAAGTCATAAGACAGGAAGCACAAGGTAAGGCAAAAGCATTTCTCCCTGGCCATTTTTCTTTCTTACCCAAATTACTGTAGGTAGCGCTGCTGATGCTGTCGTCAGCAGACTCGCTGCTCGTGTCTTTCTCCTCCTGAGATATCGTTTTGCCTAGCATCATAGACCCTCCACCAGGTGGCTCTTGGTTTGAAGATGCTGACTTTTGAACTTCAGTTACTTGTGGTGGCATGTCCTCAATGGTCACTTCATCTGGAAGGTTGCTGTAAAGAAAAGTATTTTCTTCCTTAGTTAATTGTTTAATAAACGATTTTTAAAGAAACAAAAATCCAGGTCTCATGAAGATGAGGCAGTTGAAATGAATACTAGTCTTCAAAATATTCCTTTCATTTACATCAACAATCAAATATTTTTAAAAAGAACACAGTCAGTGACAAGATATAGAATGCAATCTAAATTTTTGAATTTTTGAGAAAAGGCTTGCAAGTACTTGTTAGTTCAGAAATCCCTGGACGACTTTAGCTTCATTTAACACAGAAATGCATTCACGTTGCAAGAGAAGTTCTGGTAAAACAGGTTTTTTCTTGTTCACGTACCTTGTACAGTACTAGGTAAAGAAACTATCAATTTGCAGTCTATATTAATCTACAACTGTTTCTACTTATGTGCTTAACTAGGGTGGGACTCAACTGATAATGCAAAAGGCATTCAAACTGCCAAGCAGTATCTACAACACTGTAAGTAAATGGCAGGTGTTTTTGCATGTATTTAAGAAAAATATGACATTTATCACATTACACATTCTTGTTTTCCTTTCAGTGTCTCATTTTAGAATTTATTAATTTTTTCGATATATATTGGAAAAGTATTATAATCCATCTTCAAGTAGCAAATGCTGCATATTACACCCAGAGTCAAGATTACACACGTTTGTTACCTTACAATGCACCATTCAGCATAACTGGGAGTGTTTTAAGGCCTTGAAACAGATTGAAACAGTAAATTTCAACAGTTCACTTACCGACTGAAGTCACTTACACAGCTCCCCATTGAAATTAATACTTCAAATAAGCTCCTCAACTTCATAAACATGTTTTGAAAGCAGCTGATCAATTTGAAGAGCTCCCGTAACCCGCAACTACACACAGTGATATCAGGCTGAAGTTCCTACCTGCGGCTTAGTTTCTGGAACTATGCCAGCTTTCTGTACCTATAGTATTTCGAGGTTACTGGTCACAGAGATTTTCATTAACACTTAAAATGCTGTTACACTCATCTTATTCTCAATAATTTACATGTAGGATATCTCTAATTTTTATAAAACAGGTTATAATTAAGTGAGAATAATTTATGAAATATATCATTAATGTGATTTATTAACATTAAATTGTATGCATTCCCCTACAAATAAACAATCATTACACTTTACAATGAATTCTATGAAGCACTTTAGCATGTATCCCCGATGTAACACAGTGATATATACAAGGATTATGATTATTTAATTTTTACATTAATTAACTACTAGCAAATCTACAGCTAGTGCAAAACAGAAATGGTGCAACACTGCCTCCTGAAGTTTGTCTAATTGGGCAATTACATTGAGACGTGTGTATCAATTCAACAATGCTTCCATTTGATTGAGCAATGTATGTTGAAACATCTCTCAGTGCATCACACATTTAATTACTGTGAATTACAGTAACTGAAACAAGCAAATGCCAGTATATTTGCATATCCTGGAAACAAAAAAAAGAATAAACCATTTGATCATCAGTTGTGATTTTCTTTCTTGGATAAAGAAAGATTATTGGCCATGATATAGGGAGAAAATCCTGGTCTTTGGAAAAGTGCCACGAGATCTTTACCAACCACCAAAACAGATGGGATGTTAAAGATCCCAGGTTTAATATCAATTTGTTTACGATCTAATCTGGAAGTCCAACAAATGCGAACCTTATCTTTAACAGGAGTAAACTGTTTAATAATACATGTGGCATCAACAATTGTGACTAACAAACAAATTTCTGATAAAATGCATATCTGTCAATGCACACTTATGCAACACATTTAAAAATGGAATCTGAAGCTTTTTAAGGTGCCCACTGATAAAATAAAAATGGCACTGATAATCATCAAGTGTTTACTGAAGATTACAGCAACCAAAATACAGTATTCATTATACCGGAACATCACCAGACTACGGCATTACCTCACCCCTCACGCTGCTGAAACCCTGGTCTTTGTCACCTCAAGGCTGGACTACGGGAACTCTCTCCTCGCCGGCCTTCCCGCCACCTCCCTCCACAAGCTGCAGGTCATTCAGAACTCTGCAGCTCATGTACTGTCCCGCACCAGGCTTCGCGACCACATCACTCCCACCCTCGCTCGCCTCCACTGGCTCCCCATCCCCCAGAGGATTGATTTCAAGATCCTCATCCTCACCTACAAGGCCATTCACGGCCTTGCTCCCTCCTACCTCTCCAACCTACTATCCCCCTACCTACCTGCCCGTACCCTCCGTTCCTCTGGCTCCGGTCTGCTCCACGTCCCCCGCCCCAACCGCCCTACCATCGGTGGTCGGGCCTTCAGCCTCTCAGCCCCCAGGCTCTGGAACTCCATCCCCCAGTGCCTTCGCCTTGCTTCCTCCCTTTCCTCCTTCAAGGCCGGTCTCAAAACCTTTCTCTTTGACCGTGCCTTCAGCTCCCCTCTCGACTCTCTTCCCCCTCCTCGCTCCCTCCCTTCCCTCCCCTCACCCTGACCATTTCCCCCTCCTTGCTCCCTTCCTTCCCTCCCCTCACCCTGACCATTTCCCCCCTCCTCGCTCCCTCCCTTCCCTCCCCTCACCCTGACCATTTCCCCCCTGCTCGGGTCATGACCCAACTGTGCAGCGCCTTGGGACGTCCTCCTGACGTGAAAGGCGCTTTATAAATGGAATCTTGTTGTTGTTGTTGTTGTACTCAAATACATCCATTTATAGTTTATAAATACCAATTCTTGAATAAATTTCGCTCTAAATGAGACAAGTATATGAACAACACATTATTCATCACCGTCCAAACTGAAAGTATCATTTGCAAGTACAGTATTTCACAACACACACACTAGACTCATATTTAAAGTGCCTTACACCAGCAAAGGTAAATTCACAGACAGTAAATAATCTGGGGTGGGGAGCGGGACTACAACTCATTGATTTGTTGCAAAATTTCATCCCTCTTCCCCCACATCGCTCACTGACACCCAATATTGAACCTCCTACATTAAATCTCTTGGCTCAAAATGTCTGCCTTCAGAGGAAATAGAGGAAAGCCTCACTGATTAATTCAGCAGTGAAAGTAATTCTCTGATCAGGCAAAAGCATACAGTAGTTACATCAGGGTAAAACATATACATAAAATATTGTAATTAGTTAGTTAGCCCACTGGGATCTGTAGAAAGAAAACATCCTCCATCTAAGGCAAGAGGATTGTTGTTATAAAAATCATTGCAAATTTTGCCAATATCCAATAAAATTGAATTTTCATTGTTGCTTCTGGTGGGTCTGTTCTGCAAGAATACTGAAGAACACAAAGTCCAAATGAATGTGCCCCGTCTAAAATGTTTGAAATGATCTAGAGAAATCTTAGCCATTGTGTAATATGCAATAAGATTAATTAGTTCAGAATATTGGGAAGTATTTGGATCACACACTTTGGTATCATATACCTGTTTTGCTGTGAGCGACAGGCAATCCTGGAACTTGAGCCTCTAGCCACCTGGCTGAACCGCCACGGACAGAACTGCTAACTGATATATCCTGTATCACCTTACCTTGTCAATGGAAAGCCTCCTGTTTAGATTTAAATCTCAATTTGATAACTGAGGTTTTGATTGGGTTAAATTGAATATGGTCAGATGACAAGCTTTTCTCATAACTACTGCCAGAGCGTACGTTTCTATAATGTGTGAAATACACTACTGAATTGCTGCACCACTGGTTTATCATTCTACTTCTGACATTTTTACACACTGCAAATAATCCACATGGTGGTGCATGTTAGATAATTGATCCAAGGCCAAATACCGGCAAAATATTGTAGGCTGGGTCGCTCATTCCATATCATCTGATCTCAGTTTGATTTATATACTTCGCATTTATAATTGAGAAATTAAAAAAACACTAATCCTAACATGAACATCGTGTTCTGTTTAATTATTAAAATATGAAAGAAGTGATTTGAGATATACGTTTTACATGAAAGGTGCTATATAAACCCAAGTTATTATTAGTTTGAGCAATCAATAATATACCATGAAAATGAGGTTAATTTTTGCCTCCTCCATATCTACCAACACTGCATCTTCCTGCCCATTTACCATCAAATACATCCATCTCCTTGGCAATTCACATTGTTCCAATGGTTGGAAAGGAGAGAAAGTGGAATGGGGACAATGCCCAATCAAATCAAGCAGTTTACGAAGCCCTACATTTACTGGCAGAATCCTGCCTTGTGCTGACCAAGGGGGAATTTGAGCCCAGCTCATAACAGCAATAGTTCAGTAGTACAGCTTTAACACTGCCTCATATGTTACAGAACTACAAACCTTCAGGTATACATCCAGTGCAAATGCTGGCAGAGGCACACTGAGCAGAATACTCCAGGTTACCAACCTACCATTATCTATCCTGAACTGCTGCATTCCACAGATACCACCATTGGAGGCTCAGCCTTCATCCACTCTGCCCTTGCTCTTTGAAACTCGCTTGAAAAGTTTTTATCTCCTTCCCAAACACTCGCCCCATTTTCAAAACCCATCTAAACCTTACCTCTTTTGGTCTGGTCAGATTTCTACACCATCTGTGAAGTACTTTGAGATGTTATCCAATGTGAAATGCACTATAAAGTGCGTATTTTTACTGTATATATAATTCATCACAAGTTTAATAAATTATCAACTTTAATATAAAATACAATACCTGTAATGATTTGAAAAAAATGTATATGACACAGTTCACCTCTAAAGAAATGATTTCACAATGTTTAAGAAGGGTGAAGCTCACCACAAACTATTGGTTTTCAGGCTGTTTCTAACCAGCATCTCTAAAGCAATGAACAGGGTGCTCAGTCATTGAAAGGTTTATAGGTATTTCCTTTTAGATCATTTAGGGTGCTCGGACAGGGCCATTCAGGAGAATATATTTCCCTTTTTAATAAAAAAAAATTCATAACCTCAATCCATCTATAATTCTGCATAGTCTCCTGAGGACACTGACCCAAACAGACTGAGATTATATGGTTGACATCTGCCCTCCAGTACCTCGACCAAGTGGCCATTATTTATGTATGAACCTTGAACCATTGAGCATCAACAGGCTATACCACACATAGGGCATATAAGCCCGAGATATTCATGTACACACTTTCTAGTGGGAGTAACTGACTGGCAGATACAATTGAGAACCCCCCAATCTTGGTGATTTTTTCCACCTCCCTAACCCAGGGGCATAGAGGTCAATTATAATGCTTCTGCTGTAACCATTTGAGATTAGCTAACTCAGCACAGATTTATATTATACTCTCACATTGCAGAGACTATATATTACCAAGACATCATGACAGCTGTTCAAATATCTTCCTATAAAAAGATGCTCTGGAGTACACCCATAACCATTGCAATGGCTTTAGTTAGGGTGTTTTAAAACCCAGATTTATTGCATCTAGCCTTCTTACTTATTTAAAATATTGCTTCTGTGTTGTATTTTATGAATGATGTAGGCATGAGAAATATGTAATTCAATAGTCTTTAAATAGATGATGCAATTCAACACTATAGTTTAAAGATAGCAAACAAAGAACATGGATACGAAAGTGATATTAATTATACCCACAGTTTCTGTGAGAGACATGATGAGTAAAAAATACGATTCGTTCTGCTTAATCGAAATAACAAAATCCTAGGGTAATTATCGAGCATTAATTCTAGAGGATCACATCATTTTAGTTTTCATCTGAGTTCTTTAAGCTCATCCCTGTTTAATTACTGACAATTTCCAAACATTCTCATGGAATACTATTAATTGCAAAACAAAACCCACTTAGGATCTCTACCTAAACACCAGGAAACTTTTTTAAAATTTCGTTTGAAAAATAAAACTGAATGGCTTCTGCACATTGTCCAAAGATACATTTTCAATATCTGTTCAACTAAAGGACTTACAAAAATGGAATTAATCTTTCAACAATTTCACTATCGTTCAACTTAGATTGACGTTTGTACAATCTGCCAGCAGAATCATACACTCAGTTCAAATTCTCAATTTACTGCACAGTAAATTGCAATTATTCTAAACTATGACAGGATTGCACCCTTCTATAAATATCAGGATTTCGTTTTTTGATAGACATGGGTACTGTAATTAAACCCTTGTGATATAGTTAACAAGGGGTAGATGTTACAGTCGTGTAATTAACTAACTAATGAGATTGGAGGCTTCTACAGAACAATGACACTACAGGGATTATTACTTTTTGAACTGTCAGAATATATCATGTAAAAACAACAGGTTCTAGGAAGGAAGTTACACTGCAAATTAGTCTTAGAATTAGTCTTGAATTTACATTCAAAAACCCTTCAGCTGAATTATAACCTCAACACTCCTCCATCAGTATTATTCTTTAATTATAGATCACATTAAATATGCAGTTAGTCGTCCCACTGCATATTTGATGTGATGATTCACATAATTCACCAAGCTGATTTTTATTTAACTCTTGTGAGCTACTTCTGATCATAGAGATGCTCAACTACCATGACAAAGGTTCATACAATTGGAAGGTGATTGCTGATTCTATTTTGTCTGCTTATTGCTGCTAAAGTATTTTGTATCATAAACTGTGCCAAGTTATTTCATTGTCTCTTTTATGCGCTACGGAAATGACCTATCCGTGTTCTGCTTTCCTCAAAGAAAAACTGTCAAAACGTTAGCGAGAAAAATATTAAAATATTCAATAAATTCAGACTTGGAAAATCTAATTTCGCTATTTCAAAAAGCTGCAAGGATATGGGTGATTTTTCATCCATTAAAATATCTTCTTTTGGTTGGACAAAATACTTTTCAAATAATATTATGCATGTCATTTGCTCTACCACGCACCCCCACCCACCTCCCATCCCACATACGTAAATTCTACATCAACCATACTGTCACATCTTCTTCATCGTTTAAAATGAGGGAAGAAAAATACTGCAATAGACTTGGGTCTGCTCAATGTTAATATAGCACACTCTCTCTGAAAACTCAAGGGTTGCTCACAACATTGAGGTTGTCTTTGATGCGGTGGTGACCAGAACTGTATGCTGTACCCTGGATATGGTCAGAGTGCTGTTGAGTTTGAGCACGACTCCTGGGTTTCTAAACTCAACTGAATTGGTAATATATAGCCCAGCATCCTGTGTGCCTATGTATGAACAAATCCAACATTAGCAGTTAAATTTTGAGCACTATGCCACATGAGAAACACATATCCTCACACTTCGAACGGAGTGTCTCTCCAAAATCTATCAAATTAAATAAAAAACATAAAAAGAAACAAAGACTTACTTGTTAAGTTTTTTTGGTGGGGGAGGTGGAGGGTTTGGACTCTCTGGGCTGGCAGGTTCGTTTTCACTCACATGAGCACTCATCACAAGTTTTTCATCACTTTTCAATTCACAGACTTTGACTGGTGTTTTAATAGGAGTTGAATGGACATCTATGCCTGTTGCAGCAGCATCTGGTTTTCCAACTTCAAACTTTATATCGCCCTGCGAAAGCTCTGGTTTGCAAGTCAGTATTTCGGTCAGCTTCTCTGAGGGTTCCAGTATCTTTTGCTCACTGCACAGGTGGTGACGCTGAATAGGTGGGGGTGGCAACATGTGTATTACTCGGCCATTTAGTCCAATCAATTTGTCTTTGTCTTTTTCCTTATCTTTCTCCTCCTCCTCTTCAGTTTTACGGCGACGGAAGAAGCTTTTAAAGGAGATCCATCGTTTTGGTTTAGCCTCCTGTGAACGTTGTCGAACATCTGAATGGAACAATGGTGACTCTGTCTCGGTTGCTCGTACAGGGCTTGTTGGCTTCCCCCAGTTACTGAAATGCTTATGTAGAATGTTGCTGGCGTGGTATGGTGAGGATGTCGAGCGAGGTGGTGGGAAAGGAGGCAGTGGTTCAGATTTAGGACTGAGACTACCTCCTCCTGGAGACTGTGCTGCACCTGGTTTTGATATGGGGACAGTGACCTGCTTTGTGAGAATACTTTCTTTTGGCCCCTTTGTAATATTGCTATCCAATGCTTTGGATACCTCAGTTCTGCTGTTTCCTTGTGGCGAAAACAATGACTTTGGGCGAGTGAGAATTTCTCTGCTGTCTTCTGAGTTGGCGGGCTGGGAGTACAGCTCTTCAACACTGCTAGCTTTTGATTGTGCTTGTGAATTTTCGGGTGGCACCTGTGGAGGCTGAATAGATGCAACTATTTGGGAAAGCACGGTGCTTGCATTTTCCCTACCAACTCCTGATACCTGCCTCTCCTGGATTTCGTCCCTTCTGGCTGGGGACTCTGGTTTTGATTTCTGAGCTCTGGAAGGAGAGTTTTGATTAGATCCAAAGGCTTTGTGAGGTGAACCCTGCAGGAGGCTATGTGCTTTGTTCTGTACATTGTTGAATTCCTGCACTTTTTGTGCCACAGAACCAAGCACTTTTCGTTCTGTAATACTAGAGGTTCCCTTTGCCTGGGCTAATTCTACAGATCTGTTTTCTGATGAACCGATTTCCTCGTATGTATGGCCAACTGCATTTTCTGAAGTTTCTTTTTTCTTATGAGATCCACTAGGACCCAAGAAACTTTTATAAATGGCCAAGTTATCATAAGCATTTGGATTAATTACAATTGGTACTTTTACAACTTTATGCTTTGAACTCTGGGCATAGGTTGGTTCATCGTGTATAATGATAGGAAAAGGAGGCATCCCAGCATTGTTGTAGCTATTAAATTTGATTTCAGACAGATTTGGAGATTTCACGGGAATGGTTTTTGAAATATTTGTAGCAGTAGGTGAAGTTGGGGCAGACTTATGACTGCTCTGACGTGGAGGTGGCATAGGGCCAGAGCTACTAGATATTAATGCAACTTTGGGCATTTTTTGCCGTGGGCTCGTGCTTGAAGTCCATACCTCTTGGTATCTGGTGATACTGGATTTTTTCTGGTCGATGACCTGACCTGACAATGGTCCAGGTGAACTTACTATTGCTGAGGATACTGCTTTGCCTTTAACCAATTCAGTTGGGCCTTCAGAATTTTTATTATTCATTGCTGCAGATACATCAACTATCGTATAGGGCTTGCACATCCCTGGTGGTTCTAAATCCACAACTCTGTAGGGTTTTGCTTGCTCTTCCTTGGGAACAAAGTTAATAGTCACAATTTTCCCTAGATTTTCTGTGGCATTTGTGGTAAATTCAGTTTTCTCACTTTGTAAGGCTATTTTCCCATCCTTCTCTTCTAACCTCAATGCCAGAACTGCTTTATGAGTTTCAAGAGATTTTACTGCTGTGCCTCTTGCTGGTTTAAATGGAGCTGGTTTCACTTGGGCGATCTGTTCATTCTGACATATACTTTGATAATCTGGCTCAATATGTTTGGTTTCTTTGCAGGTACTTGGAGTAAGGTCTCCATTGAAAAGTGTGTTTTTTGTTGACCCAGTTTGAGATCCCTCAGTCATAGAAGAATCAGGGGTTGTGGAATCTGAAGACAATATACTTGGCATACTGTCTTGGCCGTATGGGATCAAAGCTTCATTGACATATCCATTTAGAATTTCATCGTAGCTGTCATCATAATCAACAGCACAAATTCTCTGGAGTGACTGCTTCCGCAAAGGAACTGTGTTCCATTTTTTTTCAGTGCAGAATCTCACAGGAGATAGTGTGTTGGCTCGGAAGTTAGCAAAACGTGGCTGACCGCGCATTCGTATTTCCATTGCCAGCAGCTCTTCATCACTTTCATCCCAACTCTCTCGCTCCTCTTGGGCATTCTCACTCGACTCATTGTCTTCTCTGTCATCACTGCTGTAGGAGCAATCAGGGAAGCAGAAGAGCCCTCCCTCATTGCTGATAACTTCTGAGCTACTGCTGAGCAAAACATGCTTGCCCGCATTCTCTTTCATACCAGCCATTATGCAGCTTGGAGGAAGCTTTCTTTCCAGTGAACGCTGGTAACATTTGTTGATCCTTCCAAGAAATGAATCTTTGTCTTCCGCTTTACCTATTAACTGTGGTTCCGAGTCAAGCCCAACAATTTCCTTCAACACATCGGTTAATCCATTATTATTGTTATTTGGGATCCTATTATTAACAACTTGGTCTGGAGGACATGACCTCTGAGCAATACTGTAGCCACTGTTTTCTTCGTTGTTGTTATTGTTCACTGGTTTTCTACTGATAAGAACACCATTTTTATTCCATCCTATAAACACATGCTTATTTTCACAGTTTTCTAAAACTTCCATTTCTCCACTTAAAGTCCGCCCATCTGTGACCATCATGGTGGGTTTCACAGCGATTGTTGGCTTCTTAGCAACAGGAGGTCTGAAGTTTCCAGCGCCTGACCTACCCCGGAGGTTGTTACTATGGTTAGCATTAGTTTTTAAGTTGTTACATGAAAGAGAAGGTGTTTCGGAGGCAGTAGTCAAACAATGCAAACTTTTGGGCTTAAAACAGTTCTTACATTCACCAGGCTTCCACACGTGTTCAGTGAAGGCGTTGCAGGCGGACATTTTTCACAGAGCTTCTCACGAAATGGTCCTCGATTACTGCATTGTAATACATTCATTGATAAGTCTTACTTCCTATTGGTCACCACAGTTCTAATGTAGACCACGATTTCGATGCTGGTATCTCATACCTGAAAAAAACACAGAACACTTAATAAAGCTTGTTTGCATTGAAAAAAAAGCTGGATTTCAGGTCTTGTCAGGAATATAGTAATGGTTACCAAATGCTTACGATTTCAAATACTGGGCTATCATCTCCGCTAACTCAAATTAACAATATCACGCATTGGAAACTTAGAAGTAATTTGATCATTCTATAATCTATCTTTATATCCTTCATTCATGAGTGCACCCAAAATATTAGTGCTCCCTAAATATCAGTGAACATTGGTTTCTAAAGCTAATTTGATCATCCTTTTGGAAATTCAGCTCATTTAAGATCCAAAATGAATGACTGCAACTCTTGAATGTAATTTATTATTTCCACATGATTTACAACAGCTTCAAAACACAGGAAAATGAGTGTTGGAAAATGAAATGGTAATAACACAGTCTCATCAGTAGAGGGCATAAAGTCACATTTCATTTGAGACACCAATATAATTTATATAGCACCGTTTCCATCATAATAATATAATAATATAACATTGCATTTGACGCAACCTTGCATTCTTCAAGATGTCTCAAAGTGCTTCACAGAATGTACTGTAAAGTGTAGTGACTTTATAATTTGTGGGCGAACTATACAGTCACTACAACAACAAGATTATATTTGTATAGCGCCTTTCACGTTGGGAGGATGTCCGAAGGCGCGGAACAGAGTACAGCATTTCAGACCCGAGCTGGGGTTGGGGGGTAAGGGAAGGGAGGAAAGGGGGGTGGCCGATGGCATGGTTGAAGAGGAGGGTCTTGAGGCGGGACTTGAAGGAGGCTAAGGAGGTGGCGAGGCGGAGTGACTGGGGGATGGAATTCCGGAGATTGGGGGCAGAGTGGCTGAAGGCTCTCCTGCCAATGGTGGGGCGGGTGGGTCGGGGACGTGGAGCAGGCCAGAGCCGGCTGAGTATACTTTAATGTGAATTGACCGTATATTTGTGGGCGAAACACGGCAGCCAATTGCACACAGCAGTGTCCCACAAACAGTTGTGGATTGATTATGACCAATTTATTATTGTTTTTTTTGGAGGAATTATTTCAGAGGAACTATGAACTATGAATTATGAACTACACATCATAAGGATATCTCAAAATGATTGACACCATTGTATGAAGCTAGAAACTCAAGCAATCACAGAACAAAAAAAAACTATTCAAATTATTTTTAAAAAGCAAGATGAGCAAACATTTTTATTAGTTTCTTTGAAGAATCACTACTCTGTAGCACTACAGGCTCAATGGGCTGAATGGCTTACTACAGTTCTTATATTCATCTGTCAGTTATTTCTTGCTATCTATTCTTCCATGGGGAGGCATGATTGTTCCTATATCTCCTATTCTCTTCTAGATTATATCATTTATTTTACGAGAACCAGTAGCAGCTCCTGCCTTTAATAAGGGGGAGGCAAAATCAAAATCCTGTCTAATGTCCCAATCCATTCTGAGGCTTGCCTCTACTATTCTTCCCTCTCCTTCTCTGGGAAAGACAGCAGTTGAAGCTGGCTTCTAAAGGGATTGGGATTCTTGTGCAATATCCAATAAAAACAGAGTGAAACAGAACCTGACTGTTTCTACTGGCTATTGTGATGGAATTCCAGCTCTGTTTCTGTCTTTTCTCTCATTCTGATTCTCTCTAATGTCTCTCTTTTTCTATCTCTATTTAAACTCTTCATTTGACAAACCATACATTGTACAGAAATATCAACACTTACCTTCACCACCTGAAAAACAAAATTATTCACATGTGCAAAATTACCTACATGCTAGGTTACTAGAAACACAAAATTATTTGTGACTGTGCTTCTATGATGCCGCTAGATTACTTACTAGAGGTACAAGCAAATTGTGTCCCTAGTAGGACCACAGAATTGTTGTGAAGATTGTTGAAGAGGCAACAACCAATGCTTCAGTCATTGTGATAAAGTCCATTATGTAGATTAATTTCTACAAAGTAATTTTTCAAGAAAATGAAATTGAACACATTCTAGAATTAAAACATTCAACTTTACAACCCCAGGGAGTGAACTTTTCAGATATGCAGCAAGTCGGAAATAGCTAAGGACATGTCTCAAAAGAATTTTAAATTGGATACTGCTGTCTGCTTGGTTTCATATCTCTTTCTGTAAATTGTTTAATCTGTCTACAAATGCAAATTGCAGAAACAGCTCTCGATAAGCTTAACAAGAGCAATGCAATTAAACAAAAAGTAACAGATATCTGGAATGATTTAATTTCAATTTAAACCACAGGTTCGAAAATATCTAAATGAAAGCAAAAAGCAGAAAGAAAGGTTTGCAACTCAAAACCCTCAAATATTGAATATTTTTGAAACTTCTTTTAAATATGGTAAAGCAAATTCTAACATTTAAGCATGGTGTATTAAATGCATCAAAAACATTTTGCCCAATTGCTTGCATACGTCACAATGAGTCCATATACGTGGTTGGTCTCAACTTTATCAATGTTTTTCTAGGGTACTTACGTGGGAGCAATGTAAGGGTTTGTTCCGAGTTTTGCTGCTGGCTCTCCACCAACCATACTAGGCAAAAAGGTGCACTTTGCATTCCTAATTACACATGTAACGTTCTGCTCACTAACATCTGAATGTCAGTGAGGTTTTGAAAGTCAATAAAGTCAGACCTCCTATGAATGTTTTACTGGTTGCAGTTGAAACCTTGCTTCGGTTAAATTAAATTGATTAAAGATAGAATGTGTAAAACTGCAGGTAATACTGTAGATTTTTCATGAATTAACTTCATATCAAATATACAACCTTGCAGTGCTCCATCAACCAACACTCAGAAGATCTGAAATGTGTGACCCAAATGTTAGCAAATTATCAGTCGTCTTTACTATGAAGTAGAAAATAATTGAAAAATGGAGGAAGATTGTAACTTTTGCTACTACTGTTTGCCTAATTGAACGTGGAGTAACATTATGATGTTTATGCTAACATAATAATATAATTTTTTGGGACATAAATTAATGTATTAAACCACCCATATCTTCATCAATGAGGGCAAGCTGAAATCTGACGCCACTGAATGAAATGTTAGGAGTGACATTTACCATCAGCAAGAGTGACAGATTTAAACATGCAGAGCTGTGCTTTATTTTTAACATTGACACATTGTACAACAAAAGGGGTTCCATTTTTCAACCAAAAAGAATGATTGGCACTTCTGATGAATGACACTTGATAGATTTGTCTGCTGATGAGCAGTTTGGTTGACCTGCAAGATACTTGGATCAGCTGTTCACACGACAACTCAAACCCACCACCTGCTCCCTCGATCCCATCCCCATCTCTCTCCTCGTCTCCCAGCTCCACCTTCTGGCCCCCCTCCTGTCCGACGTCATCAACCTCTCCCTGTCCACTGGTTCAGTTCCCACCCCCCTAAAAACAACCGTCATCACCTCCATCTTGAAAAAAACCTTCCCTGGATCTATCCCTCCTCTCCAGCTACCGCCCCATCTCTAACCTCCAATTCTTCTCCAAGGTCCTGGAACGAGTCGTCTGCTCCTTTCTCTCTTGCCATTCCCTCTTTGAACCCCTCTAATCCGGCTTCCGCGCTGCCCACAGCACGGAAACAGCCCTGATCAAAGTCACTAATGACATTCTGAACATCTGTGATCAGGGCTACCTCTGCCTCCTTGTCCTCCTCGACCTCTCTGCTGCCTTTGACACTGTCGACCACTCCATCCTCATACACCGCTTCTCCACTTTACTTAATCTTCACGGATCTGCCCTTGCCTGGTTCGATTCCTCTCAGCGTCTCCACTTCGTTGCCTCTAACAATTTCTCCTCCAGCCCCTGCACTGTCACATTTGGTGTCCCTCAGGGCTCTGTCCTTGGCCCTCTCCTCTTTAATATCAACATGCTCCCCCTTGGTGACATCCTCCGCAGACATGGGGTCAACTTCCATATGTATGCTGATGACACCCAATTCTATCTTTCTGCCTCCCCCTCAACTCCAGGACCACTGCTCTCCTGACAGTCCTGGATGAGGGCAAATTTCCTTCAGTTGAATGTGAACAAGACTGAGGCCCTCCTGATTGGCTCACACCAGCGCCTCAACACCTCAGGCTCTGGCAACATCAACCCCATGGTTGCACACTACAACTCACCAAGCCAGTCAGGAACCTCGGTGTCTTGTTCGAACCTCAACTGTCCTTTCTCCCACCACATTCAAGCCATGACCCGCTTTGCCTTCCCTCACCTCCGTAACATCGCCCAACTCCGCCACTACCTCACCCCTCAGGCCGCTGAAACTCTTGTTCATGCCTTCATCACCTCCAGGCTCGACTATGCAAATGCCCTGCTTGTTGGCCTTTCCAACTCCTCCCTCCACAGGTTGCAGATAATCCAGAACACTGCAGCCCGTGTCCTCTCCCGCACCAAACTCCGTGACCCCATCCCCCCCTACTCTCGCCGACTCTACTGGCTCCCTATCCTTCAGAGGATCCAGTTCAAGATCCTGGTTCTCATATACAAAGCCCTCCATGGTCTCACCCCACCCTACCTCTGTGACCTCCTACCCCCTACCAACCCGTCCGCTCAGCTGGCTCCGGCCTGCTCCAGATCCCCCGACCCACCCGCCCCACTATTGGTGGGAGAGCCTTCAGCCACTCCTCCACCAACCTCTGGAATTCTATCCCTCAGTCACTCCGCCTCGCCAGCTCCTTAGACTCCTTCAAGTCCCGCCTCAAGACCCTCCTCTTCGACCATGCCATCGGCCACCCCCCTGCCCCTCTCCTCCCTTACCCCCCAACCCCAGCTCGGGTCTGAAATGCTGTTCTCTGTCCAGCGCCTTGGGATGTCCTCCCGACATGAAAGGCGCTATACAAATGTAATCTTGTTGTTGTTGTTGACACAGCCACTCACCTGCATGAATGTTCCCTGCTCCTAAATGCCTTGAATACATATTCAATGAAGGATTTCATGCGAGTGTCAATCCATACAAAATTGAAATAAAAT